AACTGAGTCAAAACGGTGTACACCACTAATGAGCTCAAAGTTAAACGAGTGAAACAGCCGTCTAGTGTTTACATCACTTCGATTTGGCCAACCAGCAAACAGTACTGGTTGATCTGAGTAGTATACAACTACTGATCTCAATCAATCAGTAGTATATAGTGTTATACACAGAATATTGCGATCTGAATAACCCAGCATCAAACATGTAAGACTGCAGTGTTTATTAACCAACTATAGACAAAATACTCGAACTCATGCAGTCAGCCAGGGGAGAGCTTATGGAGAGTTGTCATCTGAACTGGTGACAACTAGTGGTGTCCGACGGGGATACCCACGATCCCCATTTCTATTCAATTTCATCATAGATGTACTGACGGAATTAACCCTAACTCACTTCAGAGACTCAGGGATTGACTTGTTACCAGGCTATGAATAATCTCGTTGACTTAGAATATGCAGATGATATAGTCCTGCTTCTAGGTGAAGACACTGACAAAATGCAGTCTTCTGAACACGTTGAGCTGCAATCTGCGAATGTTTCGCATGCGATTCGCTCCCTCCAAATGTAAGATAATGCTACAGGACTGGACTACATTGACTCCTAGCTTAGAAATAGGGAGTGAAGGGGTAGAGCACGTTGACCACTTCACTTATTTGGGAAGTTGCACCAACCAACGCCAGTGGGCTGATCGCCGACGAAATCTCAGCACGGATACAGAGGGTTAGTTTCGCATATGCTAACTTACTCCGTCTCTCGCGTAGACGTGATATCCGACTATCAACCGAAGGACGTGTATGCTGCTCAGCAGTCCGCTCCGCCCTCCTCTATGACTGTGAGACCTGGCCATCGACAATGGAAAGCAGGAAAAGGCCAGCTGTCTTTGATCATAGGTGCCTGAGTTCTATCTCCCGTGTTAAGTGGTATGATAAGGTGAGCAATATTGAGGTTAGGCATAGGTCGAGTGCTGGGTAAGGAGGGGAAATCAGTCGATGAGGCTGTGAAGTTACATCGACCGAGATGGTTAGGACATGTGTTACGCATACCCAGCCTAACCATCGCCTTCCTCGATCGTCAATGTTAGCTGACATAGGGTCAGGTTGGAATAGAGCCGGTGGTAGTCAAACCAAAACATGGCTTCATCAGTCAATGAAATCCACAACAGTAAGTTTAAGCCAGTCAAGGAGGAAGATGTAAATTTCCTGGGTGGTGTCCTCGGGACGGTAAACATCAATTGCTGGAGACAATTGGTGGTATGGCTCAAAATCGTCCTCAATGACGCAGAGGCATCCATTCCTTGTGACTTATAATGCCCAATAGAGCTATATTGTTCTTCGATATTACTATTCTTTTACCTCATATCCCTGTTTACTGTCTGTATTTTTCATTTCTTCTACTTTCTTGATTTGTGTGCTAAGTGAAAAGTGGCGACTCGAACTGCTTCACATCTGTGCAGAGTTTTATGCTGAAACCAGTTAGTCAGTTAGTGGCTAGAATAAATATTATTTGCGATTCTGTAAAAGTATCTACAGGTGAAAACATCACTAATATGATTTTTAACAACCTTTAGACAACGTTCTCTTACAGAATTTTAAGCAACACATCAGAAAATTTAGTGGAAGTTATTATCTGGAGGAAAATCGTCCATCCTTCAGCTACCACTTGAAATTCCAGCTTTTCCATAGTTGACTTTTCTAAAACTGTGGTGTTTTACTACAGTCAAATCTGTGGCTTAACAGATAGATAAACAAATCAATAGGGTGTTACATCTAATAGTGTATTGTCAAATACTAGAATCTAACTTTTTACGCCACTTTTCATTATTACTATTATGTAAATTAGACCATCTTGTTATTCACTTTAGACTGTTGTATACATTATTTGTTCGAATTCACATCCTTGAAATAACAGAGAAGATTTGTAGCTCAGGTGGATGATTTGCAAATAATAGTGTTCTCTGAGCTGGTTGGTTTAGTTGCGGAGCTTTCGTCGTCCTTCTGGACAACATCTTCAGAGCAATATTTAGCATAAAGTGAAATGATTTAAATTTCTTCATGAGTGATATAATTGCGTCTCCCGGTAACCATCTTTACATATGTATTGACCATTTTCTATTGACTTGGATTTTAAACTTTCTGGTCACTTGATTTACTTTTTATTAGTTGGTATATTTCGTCTATATTAACGTGCTTGTTAATTGCATTTTCGTTTGAGTACCAGGCTTCTAGGAATTCCCTGGCACTTTTGGTGTTTCCTCTGTCTATGATTTTGACATTATCCCAATCAAATTGATGACCATAATTGTCTATATGCATTGATACTAAAGAATATATATCGTGTCTTTTCACGGCTGATTTGTGTTCTTGGATTCTAATTCGAAGAGGACGCCCACTTTGGCCGATGTAATGTACAGTTCATACAATTTATTTTGTAAATGGTATTAATTTTATCTCCTTTTCTGTTGGATCTTTCGGTTTGCATAATATCGAATTAAGCGATTTTACTGGCTTGTGTGCTATATCTATATCAAACGGTTTCAGTATTCTAGCTGTTATTTCAGAGATATTTCTCATGTATGGTAGAATGAATTTTCTTGTGGTCTTTGATGATGGTTTCTTGTTGGTGTTTTGATTCGACTTTAAACACTTTTTGATGAAATTTTGTGGATAACCATTCTTTTTGAAGACCGTTTGTAGGTATTTTTCTTCCATTCTTTTCAACTCTGGAGTGCTACAATGTGTCTGAACTCTTTTAAACAATGTCTGCACACAGTTTCGTTTGTGAGTAATTGGATTATTGCTAGTATAGTTGAGTATTTGATCTGTGTGAGTTGATTTTCTATATACTTGTGTTTCTAAATTCACATCTTTGTTAATAACCGAGATTGATTTTGTTTAGCCATTACGTTGTTTATGTTCGGATGCTGGGTAACCGCAAAACTGGAAGAACTTTAGGTTGCACCCACTACACGTATAACTTGCAACAAAGATACGGATTTGTAGTGCTTCAACGTTTTGGTTCTTAATATAACTCTATTCAGAACGACTGTATATATATATATATATATATATATATGAAAGTTATTCACTATCAAGATAAATCTCATCTATGTTATAGGCATCAGATAGTGTTTTTCTGTTTTCTAAAATTCTGAGCAAAAAAAACTCTGTAAATTCCTTCCTTTTACCCGTATATTTTGACGTATTGATTTGTATTAAAATGAGTCATTGTGCTCAACTTAAAGTGAAATGATGAAAGCATTTCTAGCCATTTGTAGTATATTACTGTCATTTTAATTAAGTATTTGAAACAGATGATCCTATTTGATAAGTCTGTATTATCACGTCATGCTCTAGTATGATTATTATTATCATCTAGATAATGGCAGTTAGTATTGTGGTGTGTGCTACTAACAAGATTTCATAAGTAGTATGTTGTATGTGATGCCTTTTACAAGAATCTTGAATAGCAGAAAGATGGATTAAGTTGCTAGGAGGAGAAACGAAAGATTCTTGTGTAACAATATAGAAAGAATGAAACGAGGACAATAGAAACAGAATATGATTAAGGTTTTGTATATAGACATCAGAAACTACTTCGCTACTATGGGGTCCCACCGACAATTATACATCTCATCAAACAGCTGTAAGACAATGCTGCATGCCAATAAATCCACAACGGGAAACTTACGGAATACTTCGAAGTGAGGACAGGAGTAAGACAAGGCTGCCTACTATCGCCAATGATTTTCTTGATTGCAGTAGACTGGATAATGCGACAAACAGCGAGCCGGGCAATGAGGAAACAGGCATAAATGGACTCACACAAAAAACTTGGAGGATCTGGACTTCGCCGATGATATATGTCTGATTTCCCACAAACTGGAAGGTATGCAAGCGAAAAGCAACAAGTTGGCAGAACAAGCATCCAGAGAAGATAGGACTTCAGGTGGACATAGAGAAAACAGAGTTGATGAAGATTCCTGGCCAACACCACCAACAGCAACAACAACAAGGAACCTGAAAGAAACAACCTCTTTTACCTAACTGGGAAGCATCGTTTCAACTACAGGCGGATAGAACTGACGAGGATATCAAAGCAAGAATGGGGAAAGTAAGACAAGCTTTCACTACTCTCAAGTCTGTGTGGAGGTCAACAGCACTCAGCATCAAAAATAAGATCCGGATTTTCAACTATAATGTGAAGTCAGTGCTACTATACGGATCAGAGACTTGCACTGCGCGTCATAAAGAGCACCTCAAACAAACTACACACCTTCATTAACAGCTATCTTCGCTCAGTACTTCGCTCAAGATCAGATGGCCAGAAAAGATTAGCAATAGGGATCTCTGGCAATGAGCGAACCAACTCAGCAGGAACCGATCGTGCAACAAATATGTAGGAAGAAATGGAGATGCATTGGCTGGCCATACTCTGAGAAAACGAACCATCAAGTGACATCACTAGACAAGCGATTGGTCGAGTGGAACCCGAAAGGGAAGTGGCTAGTTGGTCGTCAGTGCAAGGGTGACTTGGAGGAGGTCATGTGAAGAGGAGATGAAGGTGTGTGGGCAGACTTGGAGCCAGGTGAAGACTCTAGCAGAGAACCGAACGCAATGGAGACGCACGGCTGAAACCCTATGTTTCTCTAGGAATTAAAGGAAAGAATAATATTGATAAGAAGATCGCCGAAAGTAATATAAACGTTGGAATAGGCAAAATGAGAATGTTTATTTTGGCGTTGGCTCTGCTGAAATAGCAAATTTGGCAGTAAGACGCATCGGAATAACATCAGAACACTGATACATAGACTTTTACTTTTCAAATCTCCATAGTTTTGTTCCCTTTTCTAAATTGAGACAAATATATCTAGAAAACAGGCACTGCAATACACTACACTGTACTATCACCTGAATTAAGGTTAAGATTCTTCAACTAACGTACCAATTAGTATTTCATCATTGTTATCAGAAAATTATTCCAAGAAATGGGAATTACTTACCCGTGACAGTGACCTTATGCTCTCCATGAGAAGGATGACGAAACAGATCCACGTGAATCGATATCTCTCCAACACTATCTTCAATTGCCGGTTTGTCTAAATAGTGAATTACGTAAAGGTAGGTCAGCTGGAGGAAACGTTTAGAATATTTATCGAAATACATAAAAATTTAACTCTTTCAATAGATTTTATTTTTGTATATATGATGAGAAATTAATGGTCCTGGTACAGCCGTGTTCCATGAATATTTTAGCTACCTCAAATATCGTGGTATCAAAATTTGATCTACAAACATATGCTTCTTATATTAAGCTTTAAATTCAATTTGAATGCTGAGTGGTTCTTACTCCTAGAAACAGAAATAGTGATTAGGCAAAGCCTGTAATCCACCAGTATGTGAAATATTTTAAACCTGATTTTCTACCTGTCTGAAACTTAGTGCTCGTAGAAAATTACTTCTTAAAGTGAGACAGCCCCTGTAATTTATGACTTCAGCATACCATAGAAGAAAAAGAAAGCTGTTTGGTGTCAACACACTGTTTTGGTAGCATTTTATTAAATCCGGAAGTACATCTCTGCTTATAAAACAAGGAAAAAAATACTGTCTAGTGTCAAACATATCTTCAGTTTAAAACAAGCAGCAAAGGTTATAAAGCAGAATTTAATGAATTCATCAAATTTCGGTAGAACTCCCCAGCTGAATACTCTACATACAAGGATATGTATACTTTTGAAATTACACTGGGAGATATAAGACTGGTAAACAAATAAACTACATTGAATTAGTCTGTCTCTCCAACTTCCCTTTGCTGTTTTATACTACTTTCCATATCTCCGGTATCATAGGCGTTGCATCATTCTAATTGCACGTGTGCAGTGTTGAATCGATAAATAAAGATTCAATGAATAACCTCTCTATGTCTGCACCTTACTATATTAATTTTTAATACTCTCATTCTGTCTCATCCCACCTATTTTGTTACTACATGCAAGTGAATGCAATACAATGGCTGAGCTTTTTTCTGCGTTATTTAACTCAGCAGGATCAATTATTCTAGGTCTAGCTAGATTGTTATGTTCCAATAATCTAGTTGACCCCGATCTACTAGTGTGACTGACTAGTGTAGTTGACCTCACGGTCACCACTAGATGGTATTTGGTAAATTACATTATTTTTCTTAATTGGATTTATTAGGTCCTTAAGCCGACAAAGTTTATCTCTGAGAGAGTTGGTTGATTTAAATGCTACCCTAATTCCAGCCTCATTGAGGATCCTACGTAAGGCCTCCAACGTTACTTCTTTATACAGCAGTTTCACAAAGGCTTTGAATTCTATATTATTTTCGTCACTGTTATTGCTAATCTTAGTTTTTCTATGGTTCTTCATATATTTCTGAATAAATTCAGGTGATTAATAGTTATTCACTAAAAATATTTTCTTTCGATGTTACCTCCAACTGCATTTATAAATTTACGTGCACCTGCGGCAGTAAGTACATTGGAAGGACAGAAAGAAGGGCTTCTATCCGGTTTTCAGAGCATATTCCGAGAAACTTATGCTTAAAAGGAAGAAAATATTTACAAAGTGCAATTACCAGACACCTTGTGGATACGGGCCATTTTGTTGAGATTTCCGAATCCTTCAAAATATTAAACATACAAAGGACAGCGAATCTACTACGATTTGCTGAAGCAATTGCAATCAAACGCCTGAGAGAAAACTTATGCACACAGAAAGAGAGTGTAGTCAATCTCTCACTCCCTTGGTAACCATATCACTTTCATTACACTGATTACTCATAGACACTAGTGAGTTCAACTCACTAAGCAAGTTTTCAAATTGATGAACTTTGACCTTGTTGAGTTGTCATGTTGACACTGTTTATTAGATTTTTCTGTTTTCTGTCTTCTCTCACCCCCCCTCGTTTTTCATAGTTTGATAGTATATAAATTGATGGTAACTTAAACTAAAAATTTTAATCCTTATATTCCGGATGCGTTCATCTTATAATGTTTTCTCTATTACCTTTCAAACAATAAAGTATGAAATGTTATTATTTATAACCATTGTAATTTTAGGTAGTTTGCAACTGATGAGAACCTGTGAAATAGATTGATATCATTTATACTGCAAATCTGGTCTTTCTTTCTCTATCGAAATTTATCAAGGGAACCAAATGTATGAAATATTTTCTTTATTTGTTTGATTTCATTACTGAAGTCATCTGGACTACTAGTTAGGCCCTTGGCTCAATAATACAGACATTTAACTAAACCTTACCCTACCAACTGTGGATGGGATGAATTAAAGTCTCAGTACTTATTAGAATGAAAGATTCACCGCTTGGCTGATTACCCTTTCGTTAATTGTCCTCTTACAATTTTTGTTTTACTACCTAATTACTTTAAATATTTATTTCTTTCCCGTTAGTTTTGTATCTAGTACTAGCTACTTAACCAGAGTGTTCGAGTACTGTTCTGTTACTTCGGTGAGATAATCAGTCTGCAAAACGAAAAGATAGGCAATCAAAATATATCGCTAACAGAACAGTTATTAATTCAACTCTCCAAGACAAAGGTAAGGGAAGATTGAGAAGATAAATAATGTCAAAATCATACATATTGGCAGCTAATATTTAATGAGTATCAAGTGAATTGGTAGACATCTTTCACCTGCTGAATTGATCTGAACCCAACACTTTCAATTGTTGGAATGCAAGTATATATAAGTAGCAATAAAGCACCTCTGTATGCAGCTACCACAGATATCAGAAGGTTATCAAGAAAATGATATTCAAGGCCTCATAAATCAGGCACAGTAGCAAAATTGAATACAATAAAAAAAGGCAACTAACCTTGTGATGTTTGAGTAGCTACAAAATTTTTAATCAGCGCGTCTGTAGTCTGTGTGTATAAGGATAAAGCATAACGTAATGACTGTAGTTCAGGTGATTTATCCAAATAGGCTTTTTTAAGTCCACTACCACCAGCATGGAAATAATTTTTAATTGCATCCAATGCAATATCCAATATTTGACAATGCCGTGGTGTTAAATTACGCTCTGATATTCCAGCATCTTTAGACATATCCTGAAATAAAAAGTTTATTGTATAAAAATATAAATGAATTGATGAAAAAGTGTCAACAGGGTGTTAAAACATTGTGCAGGACATGAGTAGGGTATACTGTCTGTGAAACATTTAATAAGTATATGAAGACAAATCTTTGATCGGACACTAGTAACTAGTGTGATGTGTCTAGTCCTTTGTTTGATGCAGACTAAATTCTCTCAGTCAGGTTTGCAATATGGCCACCATTCTAGGTAGGTCACCATCACGGGGCACATTGATTTGATGATATTAGATGGTTGGAGGCAATCGGCCACAGGAAGCCTTGGATTTAGGTTTCATTCTAGTTGGCAATCGTCAGCAAGGCGCATCTGAAACCTTAAAAGGACTCATGTCACCTAGTGCTGCAGTCATAGACAAATCTTCCTCCGCCTTGATTATTGAAGATGATATCCCTTTTCTTCTTTTTTCTTTCTTCCTACATAACTCGCCTCTTTCGGTAGAAATCAACTTCGTTAAATACGCTGATGTTCTGACTCTCTCGTTACTGGTTACTTCCCGATTTGACTGTTCCGAACTGAATAGCATTTTGTTGGACATTGGTCAGTGGTCCAAGTTAAATGGTCTTACGTTAAGTCCTTCCAAATGTTAGACAGTTAACTTCACCTTTGAGCATAAACATGGTCTACACGAACTTGTTCGTTCACATGATGCTTGTAGCATAGACTAAGTCAGGCATTAAATACCTGAGAATAGTTCTTTCCCCTGACCTTTCTTGATCATCCCATATCCTGTCTATTTCTAGGAAGAAGTTCCGTCTAACCTACTACATTAAGAAGTCAAGGCAATCAGGAATCATTCAACCTCTACTTTCACAACTTTTTCACTCTTGCATCCTATCAATTGTTCTTTATTGCTCCCCCTTAGACTTTCTTGGGCTACTCAAAAAGGAAAATGTCATATTGAGTAGGATATCAAAGGTTATCAGTAGGGTAAGTAAGGGGTGTATCACTAAGTCAGCTCGTTACCACTGGAGTTGACAGACATCTGAATTCATGTGAGAAATGATCTAAATCCACATTGCCTGAATCCTAACACCCTGTCTAGTCACAACACTCCCCTCGCATCTCATCAGGTAGGGCTAGAATTCATTATAAAAGGTCATATACTGGCATATCTAACTAAAAAACCCAACCATACACTATCTGGCCAGTATTCTATGTGATAGAGAAAGTGTTATGCGTGGAACTTATAATTTACTATGCAATTAGCACAATAAATGGCTCTTTGGTCTTCTCGTGTTTGTAATTTATGACTAAACTATTTCTACTATCTTATAATTTTAGTTATTAATATTATTACTATACTTTTATACTTTTTGTACATTTTTGACATTACGGTTACTGTTAACGCCAAAAAAGTAACCAACCAATCAAATCCCTACAAACTAATACTTGAATATCAGTGAGATGCTCACTAGCGACTGGCCCTATTCAGGTTGATAGTTACCTGGGGTTCTAGTGGGAAGTCGTGACCAGTAGGGTGCAGAACGTCAGGTTTGAGGACAAATACTCGCTGAAGACATTGACTAGCGGTCATGCTATGTCGGGAACTGGCAGAAGTAGAAATTCATGGGCTGGCCATTGGATCGGGTCCCAGTGGCTTAATGGTCTACGAGCTGGCTCGCCTCTTAACCAGAAGGTCGTGGGTTGGAACCCCGGTAGGCGGGTGCGTGCTCTGAAGAATCCAGAACTAGGACGAAACAGCTGTCCAGTACTCCCTGCAGGTTTTCCAATAGTTCTCTAACTGATGTCAGTTCATGATGAAATCCTGTAACCAGCCAAAAAAGTTATTATTATCAGTTTTGGTTTCCCCTGCCAAGTAATGTTTTTTTGTTGCTGTTGAGTAAATTAAATGTAATATTTTACCAAATGCAGAGAATCCCATGCTGTGTCATAAGTACTGTTTTGGAATAAACCTAATCATTATTATTATCATTATTATTAGATTTGGTTTGTAAAGTCAAACGAACAAAAAAACGGTTGTCATGGTCTACTAAATACCTAACTTGCGAATGAGTGTTGTATTTAGAATCAAATGGTCTACAAACGAATTATACGAATGAATTACAATCACAGCAGACGGAATGACAAACTACTACATGGACTCTTTGTTTGATCCTGGCATTTTTATTGAGTGATGCTGTTTTCGTTAATACCCGGAACTTAGTGTGTATAGTTTCAAAACCACTAGGCTGCTGGGCCAGGAGAAACGGGAAATGGTTTTTATTTTTGTGGGAATTACTAACGTAAATGTCCTGATGACTGATGTTTATTGAAGCAATATGTCGAGTCACTGTCAGAGCATGGGCTCCGAGTATGAACTTTTGATGACCTCTGTGGCGATCAAACTAGAATTCGATATGTTAACATTGATTGAATATATTGGTATAATAAAATAACTCCTTCGTAGACCAAAAATAATACTTCCAACATATATCACACAGAATAGTTGAAGTGAGAGAAGAAGGTTACTTGCAGGATGGTATTTGATTGTGAATATAAGTTGTGTGGATGCAAGATTTAAGGATGAGAACAGCGTACAGATAATGTTAAAATTAACTATACTGTGTAATGTGATCTTAGCGTCAACAGAAGTTAGACCAGTGAACTCTAATACAGATATACACCTTCTACTCCCCTTAGGATTCAGATGAAAATGAAGCTTTAATTTTAGTTATAATCCTTACTTAGATAAATGACATTTTAAAAGACCAAATCTATGTTACACATGCCGTCATTGACATCCGATTGATTACCCGTTCACCCTTCACATTTAACTCTATTTGACATTTAACGAAATTAGTGTGGCAGAAAGAAAAAGTGGTAACATATCTCTTATTTCTATGGGATTTGGGTAAAATAAACAGAACCGAATCAAAAATGAGTTAGAAAGCGTAGTCAGAGTCAGTGACGGATGAAGCCTAACACAAATTGTTATTCAAGTATTGGTTTCTAGGGATTTAGTTGATTGGTTACAGGATTTCATCATGAGCTGACTTTCGTTAGAGAACCATTAGAAAACCTGCAGGGACAACTGGACAGCTGCTTCGTCCTCGTTTTGGATTCCTCAGCAGAACGCACCCACCGGGGTTCAAACCCATGACTTTCTGGTTACAAGATGAGCCAGCTCGTAGACCATTAAGCCACTGGGACCCGATCCAACGGCTAACGCATGAATTCTAACTTCTGCCAGTTCACGACATATCACGACCGCTAGCCAATGTCTTCGGTGAGTATTTGTCCTCACACCCGACCTGCTGCACCCTACTGGTCACGACTTCCCACTAGAACCCCAGTTAACTATCTACCTGAATAGGACCAGTCGCCAATGAGCATCTCATTGACATTCAAGTATTGGTTTGTAGGGATTTTGTTGATCGGTCTACGAGCTCGCCTTGTAACCAGGAGGTACTGGGTTCGAACCCCGGTGGATGCGTTCTGTGAAGAGTCTCAAACTAGGTGGAAACGGCTGTCCAGCACTCCCAGGTTTTCCAATGGTTCTCTTACCAATGTCAGCTCATGATGAAACCCTGTAACTAACAAAAAATTGTGTTTGAGAACTTTGATCTGTGTTTTCAAAGGGCCACTCCATTTTGCTCTCCAATTTTGTATCGGTCAAGTGTACATTTGTTATGTTTAGCCTATCCTCTTTTTGAATTTAAGTTTGAATCCAATTTTTATTCAGTAATCTTTAAGTAAAGATCATACCAGGTGGGATAACATAAACAACAATGGCATATCAATGAATACTGTCACTTATAACAGCTAATCAAACTTACTTGAAGCAATCGGCTAGCTGGCAGTTGGCTGCTTACATTCGTCAGTAAACTCTGCGATACACTTGTTAGTTTAGCTTGTGCGGTTGAAGGAATTGATAGGTTAAGAAACATCTGAAAATATAGGATATGAAGTAATCAGAAAATCACATTGAAGGTTAATATATAATTTAGGCAAAAATACTTAGCTTTTAAAAGATACATTGAGTCACTGAATGTGTGTTTACTTTTGAAGTATATATTGTGACAACAAGCACAGTGGCACAGTGGTTAGGACTCTCGCCGACCATGCACATGGTCCGGAGTTCGATCCCCTGCCGACGCACACCCGATATCTATGGTTGGCCTGCGAAATTTGGGCTACCGATATCCATGCTGAAAATGCTATACTTGTACTGAAAATACGGTGTGGCATCAAGCTGTAATCAAAAATCAAATCAAATCACAACTATTTCTTTGTGTACAGTGTTTTATTAGCAGTTGACGAACTCTTCACACGGATACACTGGATCTGTTTGGATTTTAACAAAGTATCCTACTTATAACACAGACAATATGTGTGCGTCGGTGGTTGCATACTCGCAAATCACGTAAATAGTCCGGGTTCAATCACGTGCTGCTGACACACTCCCAAACATCACTTAGTCGGTGGCGAGCACGGTAAATATGGAGATTGGGATGTAAGGATAGCGGCTTTACTCCGTAAAATGATGAAAATTGAAAGCTGTAGTCTGAAACCCCATGTTCCACTTGAAAAGCAAAGGATTGTAAAAGTTACTATTTGAGAGGGAAATAAAAGCATTAAAATCAAGGGTTTTATGAAGGCTGCAAACATTTGATTACCACTCACTGTTCATAAAACTGCAGTTCCTTGGTGACAACACCAGCGAAATATTAACACAGCGCCTGAAGAATGCAGTTAAAAGAGCTTGTTATGCAACAGGAGTACGTTGTTTCTTCACTGCCACTCCTATTCTACGATCGAGAAATAAGGATAAACTACCTAAATTTGCCTTATCTATGTCTGTCTACCAGTTTGGCTGCAGCTGCAGAGCCAGTTAAATCGAGCGTACAATTAGGCAGGTTCATCATCGTATTTCCGAGCCTCACCCAGCATGGTTAAGCAAGGGACAAACAATATCTATTCGCAGCTGTATTTTAGCACGCCATATAGATAGTGAGCATAAGGTTGATGTTAATACAGCATTTAAAATTATTTATTGCATTCCTACTAATCTTAATTTTGCTTCCCGAGTTCTCCTTCTACATACAGCTAAAGCACTAGAAATCCACCTGAAGAAGCTAAACGTGTGTGCTCAGAAGAAATTTGTACAGCCACTTTTCTTACCTTAGCCATTGCTACATGAATGTATAAACCGGACTACTTCGTCCCCTCCCCGTAAACCTTTAAAAATTATAATTGTCCAAATCATTTTATTTTCTTTAGCAATCTTTTATGTTATCAGCTTGAGCACACGCTTATTCCTTAATTACTCTTCATTTTCCCATAATTATGCATTACGCAATCCTCGTGTTGTAACCATTTCTACCTTTTAATTGTGTGTATTAATTTTCTTCGTTAATTATCACCCCACTGACATGTTGATACTGACTAATTATTTTTATCAAGCATATCGCCACTTGATTGGTAAATTGTTGTGTATTGTAATAAAAACGCTATATAAGCATACTAGAGTGGAGCCAGAGATGAGGATCTAATTGAAAAGTAAATATTTCTTCGTTCAGTCCTTTTACTTTCTAAGTTATACTTGTAACGAAGCTTGCAGTCAGCCGAATAACCATATAGTCACCACACAGAAGTCAGATTCAGAGTCTTATATGAAACAAGTCAGTCAATAGACGAACTTTTCAGCCTGTACCATCCAAAGTGATTGAGTTAGGTATTAGGGATGTTTGTCTAAATTCTACCTTAATGCATTATGTTATTGGAAGTAGGATGAAGTTATCATTAATCTGCGGATGCCAAACAAGGAAGTGGCAGAAATCTATGAATGCAGGATAACAGAAATATACAGGATAGTAAATTCCTTGTCCTCGAAAGCCTACAAGTACTTGAAGAACAATGTACGACCTACAGCTTATTGCATTAGTCACCAAGTTTAAATTTCTACCGTAGTTATTCATTTTTATTCATCTAAAAAACTTCATATGAGTTAGCTAACAACGTTTTTGGAAAAAAGCCTTTTTCACTCTTATCGCTCGCTTATAATAACCCTTCAAATTATGTATACAACAATGGTTTGAATGATTTATATTTGAAGGTGAAATTAGCGTACACAGCATTATTAAAGTGTTGAAAATGGTAGGCGGTACATTTCAATATTGTTTGTTCACTGTGAACGCGTTCATTTAGTTCATTCCATTGTAAGTAAATTACAAAATTAATGAATTTTATAAAAAAAATTTCTATAGTAGAAAATTATTATTGTTTATTTTTTCCTTTAAGTTCCCATTGGAACATAGGGCTTCAAGCCAATGCTTTGAAGTTTTGGTAGCAGTGGTATTTATTTTTACGGGATGGCGTTGCTAGCCTCATGCCCAACCTTTCCTCTTTACCAGTCTTATTACTGGCTTAAGGAGGTAAAGGAGTGCGTCGGCGGCCGGGGATCGAACCCAGAACCACGTGCGTGCTTAGCGAGCATTCTGCCGCCGTGCCACAGACGCACAAAGTAGAACATAATGTTGAGTTGTATTTAAGAATGTCCACATGACTGACCACTTACACATGCAATGAATACATTCACCAACAATGAAGACAAAGGACAGAAGATATCACTTGGTAAGTAGGAATATCGATTGTAGAGGTAATGAATAGCAGACAGGCAATATAATTGGAATTTTCGGCTTAATTTTCACCAATTTCCATTAGTGCTTATACACGGGCTACCTGCTGCAGTTAAAGTAACAATTTCTAGCTTCAGCCAACCAATGAAATATTAGTAAAGAGAGTGTTAAACTTTTATTTAGTTATCCAGAATGTTCTTATCTTACAAAGATATTTCAGTTTTCCGGAAGAAATAGATAAACACAGAAAATAAATAATTCAATTTAATAATTCTTTTTGCATTTACTGCATTATTCAGTAGTATATGAGTCACACTGGTTGTGACACTACAGATTCATGATATTGCTTAGTCAATCAGAATTAAAGCCTGGCGGTACGGCTTTGAACATCCAAACCATTAGGCAGATAAATTTTACAATTTCATCATTAATTAAAATCAGCTGTAAAGCGGATGAAATTTAATTAGCACTGAACAGCTGTTTAGTGCTGCTTAGTTATTGTTTACTTAGAATGTATTTAAATCTACGTGGGGTATAGAGTGGGCGACAGTTAGCTTAAGTGGATAGCTCTGCTATCAGTCAACACAAACAGTAGGTTCAAATGTTATACTACCTGATAGTTCACAGCATAGTTTAACTACTATCCAATAATCTCAAGTAATTTACTATTCCTACATGAAGCCTGATTGATCACAGAAAATTATAACTTTGGGGGGAAATGCGTGTTTTCTGATGAGAAATTTCACACTAGAACGAAACACTGGTCCAGTGTCCTACTGTTTTCCATAAATCTGTAGGCAGTGTGTGTGGACAGCTTCAGTATCATTCAGCTTTCTACAAACCTTCGATAGGTTGATAAAACTTCGATATATCAAGTAAACAGTTTCTAAACAATTCCTTTTTATTTATGTGCTGATAAACATAATGCAAACGATTAGCCAGATTCCTACAATTTCAGTTTATTTTAGAGATCAATTAGCGTGTGTTAGTGATAAGATTTATCAGTAGTATATAAAGAGACGTTCATCGGCAAAAAACATCAAATAGAGGAGAGATAGATTTGAAATCAAAGAGAGTAAATGAACCAGAATTGCGGTAAAACATGGGAGACAAGAAAAGAAGGCGAAGAAACACAATATGAAGGATAGAAGCAGCACAACACGGAAGATTTGCGCAAATGACAATCTTCATATAAGTAGTACATAATTTCCCTATATGCACGTGTCAAATTGCTAGTAAACATCCTGTCACGAAGTCTCTTTTGTCCTCCTGATAAAACGGTATTCTCTTCGTCTTTCTTCCTTGCTTCAGAGTAATTTATAGAATTGATTTTGGTCACGCTTGTTATTAGATTTTCGTATTGTTTCATGTAAGAAGTGATACTAAGTTGTAAGGGACATAAATGGTCGAAGGAAATTATATATCTCTGAATGATAAGAAAATGACTTATGTGATCATTGCTTCGGTGGTTTAGTGGTAGGGGATACTCGCCAACCACCCATGTGGTCTGAGTTTCGATTTCCTACCAACGCAATACTAAACCTCTCTTAGCCTCTAGTAAACCCGGTTAAGAGATAAATTTAGGCGTGAGGCTAGGAACCTAGTCCCACAAGAATAACACCACTGCTCTTGAAACTTCAAAGTTCAAGCTTGAAGCCTCATGTTCCACTCAGAAAGCAAAAGAATAAAATAAAAATACAAGATCCTTTTAGAATTTCTCCAACTATTCTACATAAGCAGACGTTTTGATGTGGTTGTGTTCTCTGAGCTGGATAGTTAATTTGCGAAGCTTTCATTGCCCTACTAGGCAACATCTCCAGTGCATACTTCAAGCTGAAGTCCAACTTCGTAAATTAACTATCCAGCTCAGAGAACACAACCACATCAAAATTATCCACCTGAGCTACAAATCTTCTCCATCAAGCAGAGGTTTATATATACATATACATATATATATATATCAATTTGGTATGATTTTATTCAGTATTGGATATATTAGTTAGAAGAAAGCTAATCCTTAAAATAAGAGATGTAAGGTATCTGAAATTAGGACATAAAACTTTACATATCTCCTGTCAATGGACGCGAACGTTGAACGTTTGTTTAGTGGAACTGGTAACCGTTGGCGGGCAACTCGAAGGCGCAAATGGTTCAATCGTGTACAAGTTGGAAGAAGACGAAAGAATGCGAATAAAAGCACATTACATTCATTTGTAAAACATTTGTTTATAGACTTGTACTTAGTTAGCTAGACTTTAATTGCCAAACAATACAACTTTCTTAAACTACTGGTGTTTTGGAGTTAAAGTCGAGAAAGTCATAGTAATTATCGGTTAGGAGCGTCTTCACAAATAATAAGAACTTAGTGTTAAGTTCCTTGACATCTCCTTTCCACAGATTAATTTACTTCTCGATTGATTCCTAGTGAAGAACATACAAGGTCATGATTAGGCTACTTCTAACTGTCATGAACTGTGTCGGTGGTTCAGTGGTAGAATACTCACCAAACATGCACGTAGTTTGGGGTTCGACCCCTGGCAGCCGAAACACTGCTAAACCTCGCTTGGTCGGTAGTAAGTTTGGTTAAGAGGGAAGCTTGTGAGTGAGGCTAGCAACGCTACCCCATAGAAAATAATTACCACTACAAGTGAAACTTAAAAGCTGAAGCTTGTAGCCCTAAATTACTCTTGGAACCATAAGGAATATATATATATATATGCATAATTTCCAAATTTCCATTTGCTCATTTAGCGAAAAGAACAGATTGAGCGAAGAAATATATTCCTTTTCAATTAGTTCCTCAACATTAGCTCTACACTAATATATACTGTTTTTACATCAAAATGTTTTACCAATCAAATGGTTATTCTAGTTAGTCAGTTTTAGGCATAGAAGGGGGTGGAATTAAGAGGTCAAAAGTCATCAAAACAATTAGCCAATAGATTTTAGCAACAAGATATCTAAGCTTTGAAGGAGGGGTGTAAATTAACTACAGAATTCAAGATAAGTTGATTTTTAGGCGTTGGCAACAAGTTATTAAATAATCAAGAAATTTGTCAAAACACCAATGATGACTTAGAAGAATTACGTAAAATACAAACAAGTTAATAGAATTAGCTAGAATTGTAAAAGTCAAAAGTTAGTTACAAGGGGAGGGGAAAAGTCGTTTTTAAAAACTTAATACATGTTATGCGTTGGCTATGGCAAAGAAAGGGACTGTTGTTAACGCCTAAGAATTAACTCATTTTGAATTCCGTAATTAAGTTTCACTCCTCCTTCAAAACTTACATATCTCGTTACTAAAAAATCTGCTGGTTAATTGTTTTGATGACTTTTGACCTCTTAATTTCACCCCTCCTAATAAACCTAAAACTGACTACCTAAAATGGAATTTTCAGCATGTGATATTGGTAGCCCAAATTTTGCAGGCCAACCATTGATATCAGGTGTGCGCCTGTAGGGAATCGAACGCTAGACCATCTGCATGGTCGACGAGAGTCCCAACAGCTGTGCCACCGACGCAGGAATCCATTTCTTAGCTCAACCTGTTGTTTTGAAAATTAGTCAATGTTTAATTGGACGACAAGTTTTCTCCCTATATCCTTTACATCAATCACAGGGAAATACAAATTAACTTAAAGAAAAAAATCGTATTCTGTTAAATAAGAGCAAACATACAGATGCACACGTACAAATGAAGTATGTGCAGTAAGTAGAATAACATTAGATTTTATAGGTACATATATGTATATGTATAAACGTAATAAACTTACAGCTCTTGGATCAGCTACTGTAGGCAGTACAACTTGTTTTTCTAAATTATGCATTGTAACTTTCCATAGTTCCTGTTTATTTGGAAAATATATGCAAACACACACACACACACGAAAAGTACATTTAAATTACAGCAAATAAACAAAATAAATGACAACAATGTCAATGTATTATAACATGATTTAAGCGAAACCATAACAAAACTTCTATAATTATTTAAAATAAGATTAAATAATTAGTCTAAAAATAGTGTATACTTAAATAAGGTAATAAGATTGAAAAAAACAACTGAAAATTGAATATACTTTTTCAATTCCTCTGTCATTTAAATTGATAAACAACAATATTTTTGAGCAGTACTCACTGAGAAAACTGACAAAAGTGTCATTTTCAAGTAAAAATAATAATAATAACAATATTTATATAATGTATAGAATTTTCAGCGGAGCCTTTTTGCATGTTATCTTCTCTTGGTCAGTGGTCTTCAAATAAAAAGCCGACAGTAATCGACAGTTGATCGTAAGATACAGTTCTATCTGATCTGAAGTGCAAACACTAATCCGCCAATTTGATTTCGCTTCTTTTTCTCCTTCAAAAGATACACGACATTTGCCACTTAACCAGCTTGTTAATATTCTAGTTGACAGGCACATGGACTCATGTGAAAAATGGGCCAAATCCATTTTATCTAACTCACACCACCCTCTTCACTCACAACTCTCCCCTTGCATCTCATCAGGTAAAACAAGAAGCCAATATAGAAAACTATGTGCTCGCACCAGCAAGTACAAAAAATCAACCATACCCTACTTAGCTCGTGTTCTATGCGATAAAGAAAGCATTAGGCGTGACACCTATAATTCATTAAATAGTCAGTAGAACAACTGGACCTCGTCTTTCCAACTCATATCATTTATAGGTGCAACGTTTTATTTCTTTCTTTTCCTCTCTCTTTTTTTCCGTTATGTGCTACTTTGTTTCTTTCTCCCGCTTACGCCAGTAAATATGATAGCACCTACTTTTCTAACACCTTCAAACACTGTTCAACTTTGGCTTTGCTACCGACATCCCAATATGTTGTTGTGATAATGAACTGAGATTTCCTTAATCTATGTAGAATTCTTTTTATTGATAATGTACTAACTGGATGCAATACTGTAGTAAAAAATGCTGAGAATTCCATTCTGTATCACAAGTACTGTTTTGAAATAAAGCAAATTATTAATATTGTTATTATTAAAAAATGCCAATTATAAAAAGTTCAGGAGTAGATTTTGTGGACCAAGGACACCAGTCGGGAATGGTCATCTCATGCACCGGGATAAGGTGCCATCGAGTATAGTGCCTTTTCACATATTTAGTAGGAACTTGAGAAACTGCAGGTTGTAAATGTTTTGAATAGTCGCCATAGTAGTCGATACTATTAGAGGTCATATTTCACTAGATTGATCAAATTGCAACACTGCGGAGCATCATTGAACAAAGCTTGGAATGACAGTCAGCTCTCTATATCAACTTCATCGAATTTGAAAAGGCCTTCGATAGCGTCGGTCGAGAGGTGATTTGACAACTACTTCACTACTACGGGGTGCCGCCAACAATAATTCATCTCATCCAACAGTTGTACGACAATGCTGCATGCCAAAGTATCCACAACGGGAAACTCACGGAATCCTTGGAAGTGAAGATGGGAGTAAGATAAGCTGGCTGGCTTCCTACTATCTCCAATGTTTTCCTGGTTGCAGTAGACTGGATAATGTGACAGACATTTGGAAGCGAGGAAACAGGCATAAAATGGATCCACATAAAAAACTTGGAGGATCTGAACTTCGCCGACGAAATATGTCTGATTTCCCACAAACTGGAAGACATGCAAGTGAAAAGCAACAAGTTGGCAGAAGAAGCATCCAGAGAAGATAAGAAGGACTTCAGGTGAACGTAGAGAAAACAGAGGTAATGAAGATTCCTGGGCAACACCACCAACAGCAACAGCCACAACAGACAACAATCGGCCAGCATAAATGGGAGAAATCTGAAAGAAACAACCTCCTTTACCTACCTGGAAACCATCGTTTCAACTACAGGCGGAACTGACGAGGATATCGAAGCGAGAATCGGGAAAGCAAGTCAAGCTTTCATTTCTCTCAAGCCTGTGTGGAGGTCAACAGCACTCAGCATGAAAATGAGAATAAGATCCGGATTTTCAGCTCAAATGTGAAGTCAGTGCTACTTAAAATACGGATCAGAGACTTGCACTGCGCGTCATAAAGAGCATCTCAAACAAACTACAGACCTTCATCAACAACTGTCTTCGCTCAATACCACTCAAGACCAGATGGCCAGAAAAGATCAGCAACATGGAGGGATTTCTGGGAGCGAACTAACCCAGCGGGAACCGATTGTACAACAAATAGGCAGGAAGAAATGGAGATGGATTGGCTGGCCATACTCTGAGAAAACGAACCATCAAGTGACATCACTAGACAAGCCATCGCTCTAGTGGAACCTGAATGGGAAGTGGCGAGTTGGTCGTCGAAGAGTGACTTGGAGGAGGTGATGTGAAGAGAAGATGAAAACATGTGGCTAGATGTAGAGCCAGGTGGAAACGTAGGCGAAGGACCGAACGTAATAGAGGCGCGCGGCTGAAGCCCTATGTTCCTCTAGGAACTAAAGGAAACAATAATAATAAACAAACTGAATAAGGGAAATTATATGCAATATATATTGATGGAGGTTTTCGGTAGCCCAAGTTTTAAGCAGGCCGCTAGGTCTCTGGTTAAATGAGCACCATGTTAGTGACGATCTTAAAGCATTTATTTGTACTGTATACAGTTGTGTTAATTTCAAAGGCTTTATTACAGACTATATTAACAGTCAACCTCGTACTTAGTGATTATTATTATTATTATTGTTATCGCTCGTTCCGAGTGGAGCGAAGAGATTCGGGAGCACACACTCATTCCACTAGGTTTTCGGCTAGCACTTTCAAGTGGCTCCACGACCGCCCTCAAGATTTCATTTCCTCTTCACATGATGATCTCCATATTACCATTGAAAGCTCAAAAATTTGCCTAATATTCAGGCTGCATTTGAGGACCTGGGGTTGTTGTGTGACTTGAATTTCTTCTCAGATTTGTTCAATCTCCATCTTCAACCCCATGTTTAGTCAGTTAGAATTCAGTCGCTAGGGAAGAAATCTTTCATGTACTAGGTCATGAACCACACTTATGCATAGAAGAACTGGTGATGCAATCCAGTTGCCCTGATTAAAATAAGCGGTACAAGATTTAAAGCGAAGAGCAGTTGGCTGAAAGTCAAGCCGATGGAGCCACATCACCACAAATTCTTAAATACACAAGTACACTAGAGATGAAAACACAAACGTAATCTGTAGCTGCGTAATTACATACAGATAAAAGTATTGACTAAGAAATCCCACATAGTGATGTGACAGATACAATAATGCTTATGATTATGCTTGCGATATACAAGATCCTGTAGTATTTACTTTCAAAACTGAGTAGTTCAAAGGGATCATCACAAATGAAATGAAAATAAAGTAACAACAACAACAACAACAAAGCAAACAATAGAGTAGATAGAATAGGATAGTTTTTTACCTTTAACAATCGTTTCAGTACAGTCTTCTCGCATAGATCTGCTAAAGTTGACAGTGTTGATTCATAATAATCCATAAGTGGATGAAGTATGTGTTCAGCTTCAATTTCTACATTCCCCTTTGAATTTGGTGGACACTAAGAGGATAAGATAATAAAGAGGGAATATATATAACACATTAACATGCTTCAGATATATAGACAGATAATGATGAGTAAGCTTAGATGTGAAGGTTAGTGCATACATTGAGATTTTTCAAAAGATAAATGAACAAAGAAATTGTAATTCATTTTCAAGTACGGACAAATTATCGGAGAAGCATGTTTAATAGTAAAAATGTTTCAGTTATATTATTGGCTTATCTAATTTATATCTAACTGAATTACATTGGAATAGTATTATAGAGATTCAGTATATTATTATTATTGTTTCCTTTAGTTCCTAGAGGAACATATGGCTTCAGCCGCACGTCTCCATTGCGTTCGGTTCTCTGTCAACGTTTTCACCTGGCTCCACGTCTGCCCACATGCTTTCATCATCTCGTTTGCAATCTGGGCATCTTTGCCAGTCTCGTACATGGTGCGGACGTCCCATGTTCCCACACAGACTTTTTCTTTTGTCACAAGGAGACTCATCGTGCTGAAGTCTCTGTAACAACTTTGTTTACAGGGTGGGGTTACTAACCTCACGCCTGAGAAGAGGGTTGTTACATGAATGTGTCGGTTACAGGGGAGCGAATTTTTGGGTTGCTCCCCTCAGAGAGATTCAGTATAACTATGTTCTTATTTGTGTAAGTGAATTTGCATCTTGTGGAATATTTCGTCTCTTTTGACGCTTTGGCGTTTGAAACGGTGAGTCTCAGTGAGAACAACATCAAACTGGCAGGTTCCAAATAGAATGGAATGCACATTGTGGATTCCATTACTAGTCACCACCAACAAGGTGATAGCTATATCCTATTACATATACATAAATGGATAACAGAACAGGGAGCTGTGCTGCCGTTTGACAATAGTACAAGATGTTGTCATATAGGTAGGTTGACTGGAGAACGACATCTATCTGCTATAGTCATGCACACACATACACAGACTCACAAAAACTTTCCAACAGGTTGTTCAGTTATTTAAACGGTAAAAGGTGTTAGGTTTCTTGTTTTTGTTTTTTACAGTGACCCAAATTCACGTCTAAACGATCAATGAGTAACACAGAAAGTCAAAACTAGTTAATAGGAACTCTCCGATTGGACGCTAACCAGTGTCATGCGTCTATTTTTTTAAAAATATTTTATTATAGCTTGACTCCATACCGTGTTTTTGGTACAAGTATGAAATTTTCAGCATGTGATATTGGTAGCCCGAATTTCGCAGGCCGACCATTGATATCGGGTGTGCGTCGGCAGTGGATTGAACCCCGGACAATGTGCATGTTCGGCTAGAGTCCTAACCGCTTTTGTTTGCTGCAGACTGAATTCTATCAGTCAAGTCTACAATGTGGCCACCATACTAGGTGGTTCAACATCAAGATGGACCAAGAGTTGTTGCTATTAGATGATTGGAGGTAATCCGTAGGAAGCATTGGACCTAGGTATCGTGCTTGTTAGCACTCATGAGCAAGGCGTATCTGCAATCTTGAAGGAACTCATGTTCCCCATGTGATTAGAACCCGAGCTACTCAGTGCTCCGATCAGAGACATTACCGCTGAGCTATTCGGACTCGCGATTGACCTCCTGTAGGACTGCATTGGTAACATATCTGATTGCAGCATGATGGGTGACAAGTTTTCTAACCTCAGAAGGGAAATGCATCACTTCGAGATTGCAGATGCACTGCCTTGTTGACGAGTGCTGACAAGCACGAAATCTAGCTTCAAGGCTTCCTGGAGATTGCCTTCAACCATCTAATAGCGGTAATGATAACTCTATTAGCTCAGCTAATGAAATATAAAACGATTCAAAGTTAGTTTGTAATCCAAATATTATTATTTTTAATGTAGATCTGATCGGGAATCAACATCAGTCAGAGAATCATTGAGAACTAAGGTAAGTGGACAGTTGTTCCGACCTAGTCTGAAACACTAACTTCTGTCGTTTCACGCAGTTAGAGTTGAATTCCAACTCAGTGGCCAAATGGACTACGGGCTAGCCTCATAACCTGGGGGCAATGGATTCGATCCCTGGTGAGGACATTGGTGCGTATCACTAAGTCGTCCAAAACTAGAATGAAACAGCTAAGCGGTGCTAACTAATTTTTTTTAGTGATTCGCCAGGTGATGCTGATTCTTGACAAAATATACATTATAACTAATCCGGATCCCTACACGTCTATTATATTAGTTTTCCATAATTAAACAAGCAACCAATCGAATGCTTCCGAAAGAGAAACTAATCCAGACACCATGAAAGGAATGTGACTTTAAGACTAGACTAGACTAGGGAGTGCGTCGGTGGCACAGCGGTTAGGACTCTCGCCGATCATGCACATGGTCCGAGGTTCGACCCGCTGCCAGCGTACACCTGATATCTATGGTCAGCCTGCGAAATTTGGGCTACCGATATCACATGCTGAAAATTCCATACTTGTACTAAAAATACTGTGTGGTTTCAAGCTATAATCAAAAAAAAAAATCAAAAAGAAGAAAAAAAAGTAGCGACTAGGTGAAAACCCAGAAATTAATTAATGCTACACACATGCTACACTGACCTGATGTAAAAGTTTACTTAATTCTTTAATTTTTTGAACAATTTGTACTTGTAGAGCTTCAGCATATTGTGAGGCTAAATCATCGATAACAGCATGCAGCATTTGTTGTAAATCATTCATTGAAGTCAGTGTATCCTCCGAGAGTGTACTTCCACCCATTGCTTCAAATACTTTCTCTAATTGTACACGCAATTGTTGTATATTATTCATGATAATACAGGCAGTTTCTTGTTGATGGATCCAACGTTTAAAATCAGCTTTTACAATTTCTGCATAAGTCAGCAGTACTTTACTGACAGTCTATATTATTATTAGTAGTAGTAGTATTTAATGTTGTTTAGATAAAAAATAAAAGCGTGAAAAGAAAGAAAACAGCAAATATTAAAATAAATAATTAATTAAAATAATAATGAAAATAAGATTAATTAGTAATTTAATTGAATTTTACATTTTCCAGTCGATTGATTGGACTGAAGTGCTCGCTCCACTATTTTGGACTCGTCAGCTGGATGTACCTGCATTCCTCAGTGAGGGATGATGTTCCCACCGAGGCTCGAGTCCAAATAGGACGAAATGCACATCCCGGATTCCACTTTTAGTCACCATCCACCAGTTAAAAGATTAATTAACTAAATACTATTAATGAAATTTTGGGATATTTAAACGAATTGTGCGTCGGTGGTATAGCAGTTAGGACGCTCACCGACCATGCACATGGTCTGGGGTTCGATCCCCGGCCAACGCACTCCTTTACCTCGCTAAGCCAGAAATAATGCTGGTAAAGAGGAAAGGTTGGGCTTGAGGCTAGCAACCCCATCCTGTAAAATAAACACTGCTACAGAAACTTCAAGCCACTAGCTTGAAGCCCTATGTTCAACTGGGGAACATGAAGGAAAAAAATATTGAACAAATTGTGTCTAGTGTTGCACAGACAGCTAAATGACAATGTCATGTGTCAAGTGATCTACAAAAAGGAAAACTCATCGAGGCCTGTGAAGTGAAGACAGGAATAAGACAAGGTTGCCTGTTATTACCGATGACATTCCTAGTTGTAGTGGACTGGATTATCCGGCAAACCATGGGGAGCAAGAGGACAGGCACAGGTTAGATGAACAAGAAGACACTAGAAGACCTGAACCTCGCAAATGATTTATGTCTAATGTATCACAAACTCGAAAATCTACAGGCGAAAATCAACAAGTTGGCAGAAGAAGAAGAAGCAGCAGGAGAAGCAGAGGCAGGTCTTCAAGTAAACAGAGAGAAGGCAGATGTGATGAAGATAACCGTCGATCAACAACAATGACAAGCACCAATCATCCTCAACCGGATAAATTTGGAGGAAAACAATTCTCCCATTTATCTAAGCAGCATTATTTCTACTACACGTGGTGACACGAATGAGGAGGTCAAAATCAGCCACAAATGGGTAAGCAAAACAGACTTTCGTTAACCTAAAATCAGTGTGGAAATCTGTTGTACTCAGCATAAGGAACAAGATTCGGACTTTTGATACTAATGTCAAATTTTTTTTTCCTTCACGTTTCTCAGTGGAACATGGGGCTCCAAGCTAGTGGTTTGAAGTTTCTGTAGCAGTGTTTATTTTACAGGATGGGGTTGCTAGCCTCATGTCCAACCAATTCCTCTTTACCAGCTTTTATTTCCGGCTCAGTGAGGTAAAGGAGTGCGTCGGCCGGGGATTGAACCTCGGACCATGTGCATGGTCGGCGAGCGTCCTAACCGTATTGCCACCGGCGTAATGCCAAATTAGTGCTTCTATATGGATTAGAAACCAAAAGCACTGACAACAGTCTGCAAACTTTTACCAACAGCCGTTTTTTCTCGATAGTGAAGGACAGATGGCTGACCAGATGGAATTTGCAACAAGTAACTCTGACAGTGCAGCGAATCAACCAAGAATCTGTTGACCAGCAAAAATGCAGAAGAAAACGCAGATGGGTTGGATATGCTTTGAGGGGACCTTTGAGTGATACTGTGACCAGGCCCTCAAACGGAATCCGGATGGGAGGGGAGTGATGGGGTGGCCGTCCGAGGAAAATAGGAAAGTTTATGGGCAGTGGTAGAATAAGCTAAAAAATTCTACAAAAAACAGAGTGAAATGTCCTGTATTACACTCGGAACGCAAAGGAATAATGACAAATGAACTCCGTAGTAAGCGTTATATACTACGAAGTGTGACACAGTGAATTTATAATGATATTTTAGTTGAAGGATTTCATGATCTTACATTCAAGAGCGCTTTGTTAGTTGGCATCGAACCAAAAAAATCTTTCATATGATTACTGTTTTTTCGATAATTACAATACTGTTTCATGGGCTGCTTGTGAAACAAAGTTCTCAGGGTCAAATTTCAGATAATTGTGATTTTGATAACATTTCTTTAAACGAGCTATTCGGTTGTAAATGTTCCCTCATTCTTTGCATTTCGAGTGGAACACAGCACTTCAAGCTTCGAAGTTTCAGTAGTGGTGATTGATGTTGTTTATACATGGTAGGTTTGTTAGCTTCATGCTAAACTATCGACCAGTAAACTGACCAAAGTTTAAGTGTGGATCGACGGTGAATCAGACGGAGACCATGTACGTGGCTGGAAAGCATTTTACTATAGAGGTATAGACGCTTACAATTTATATTAGATGATTTCAATCGACATAACTAACAGTTACTGATACAGTACTAAGTAACTGGATAATGTTTTGAGCACATTTTATTGTTAATCATCGTATTCACACGACTTAATTAATAACTTGCTTGGCATGATTCGGTTTCTGTCCACTTCTGTTATTATTAATGTAATCTTCCATATAATCAAAACTGATGTTGGTGTTGATTCGATGAATAAAGATTCAGTGATTGGGCGCTAACTGCATTACCTTTTAATACTTTAGGCCTGTGCCACCCTATTGTTTGATTGAATGCAAGTGTATACATTTCCAAGTTATTTAACATGACTGGATCTATCATCCTAGATCTAGTTATGTTTCTATGTTTTGATAACCCACCTAACCCTTTTTGACCTATATATTTGACCTCATACTCATCACTCGATATATGGTATATCATATTATTTTGTCAAATTGGGTCATTTGGGTCCTAAAGCTGACAAAGTTGCTCTCTAGGTGATTCGGTAGGCTTCAGTGCAATCTTAATTATTACGTGATAAATAACTCGAAAATGTTCAACATATTCTGTTGTCTTATGGATTATAACGTGATTCTTTCATGTCTGCCCCACATTCATTCCTAAGATCAAATTGGTTGAGGATAAAAGCCGTTGTGAGGTGTTGCAGTGGACACAGTATAGCGAAGTCCATAACAGATATTCCAGAATCATAAAAAAAGCTGACGAAACACCTCGAAGATAGCTAAGCATGACATCTGGAATGATTACAAATTTCCTGTAGGCAGTTAATACGTAGACCAACTACCTGAGGGAATTCAAACATTAACTGACCTCGTCTGTTCTACCTATTCAAGCGTACTGGAGCGAAATGCAACAAATTAGTTTTACAATAATTTATATCCTCGCCCCTCAAAGTAAACAGGCAAATAGGCTTTACAAATCTGCAGCCACTGAGTTTGCTTCAGATTTAACGTACAACCACTCAGTAAGAGGGACTGTATAGGTGCTAGAAGACAGAATGATGCAGATGATTACTGAGAAATTTAACCGTTGCATGGAACTGAAATTTCAAAGATTTATCTGTTGGGAAGTGATCATTGAATACCAAGTAACAGAGGTAAAGCTGGAAGTAGGTCAACAGATTTCTGTTCTCCTTGCGGAAACATTCACAAAATTTTCTGGATATCAGTTATCATATGATAATTTTTCTACTGCTTCCTTATTTGTTATCCAAAGTGTTTGTCGTACAGATTTTCCTAGCACGAAACATCTGAATACTGAGGAGATTTCATTTGTATGCAAGAACGACGAACAATCTGAAATAGGTATATTGGCCAACCCACGACCTTTTATGGAAAATGACTGGATTAATGCTGTCATATTTCTTTCTCACTAGTCTTATTGTCTTTTTCATAAGTTAGCTACATCTATGTATGTGTCATATTGAATGTTTTGAGGAGGATCTCAGTATTGATTTCAATCTTATACAGGATAAAAATATCGTCCATAAATCTACAGTAAAACGAAGTTAAACTGATAACAATTCTCTGCTTTTGACACAAATATATGCTGGTGGATTTGTGTAATGATTACTCTTTAAAAAGCATTCAGGATGAAAGATTTTTCTCAAAATATATATTAACATGATTAACTAGAAAAATATATGCATTTGCTCTTAAACTACTTACAAGTAGTCACACAAGTATTTATAAAAATATGTGAAAAATAATACCACACATTCACTATAATCGTGTGTGATAGAAAACAAAAGATTTATCGATATGTCCCCTCCCAAAAAATAAAACATCACTTACCCGAGAGAAACGATTTAAAAATCGTTCTTGTACATTTGGATCAGGACATTCAAGTTTTTTAATGACATCAAAACACTGATTAAGTTGAGTAAACACATCCACAACTGAATTCGAGAATAATGCATGCTCACTAGATCGTTGAAATCCATCCTTCTTATCACGTTCATAAGCATTGCGTAAATAGTCCATTGATACTTCATCATTTTCATTTAACCATTGCATAACAAATACTTCAAACCAACTGAAATGATGAAATTATAGAGGTGATGAATAAAAAGTAACAGCTTGTAAAAGAAAAGAAGTCTCCTCGAATTCGGTATAGAGTGGATGAAAACCGAGGGGACTCAAATTACCAAACTCCAGAAAAGGAAAAGAAAACCAACTGTGTGAATAAGAATTCTTTTTGCAATGCAGTAATTCTTTGGAGAATCCCTCTTCAACTATCTAATTACAATATGTATACTTATTTCTATAATTCAACTAACTTTGTATTAGAAGTTGATTGGTGGATGGTGACTAGCAGTGGAATCCAATCCAGGATGCGCATTTCGTCCTATTTGGGACTCGTCATCTGGATGTACCTGCATTCCCCAGTGAGTGATGGTGTTCCCACCGAGGCTCGAACCCAGTGCCCATAGTTTCAAACGCTAAAGCGTTATCCACTAAGCCACGTAGACCACGACACGCCAGACATCGTCGTGGCTTCTGCTTAAGAAGCCGATATGTCAACCTGAGATCGAGTACTTCGGTCCAATCAATCGATGAGAAAATCTAAAATTGAATTAAATAACTTTGTAACTATTCTTTTCTTTCCTTTTAGGTTGTATATGTCATTATCTTATCGTTCACATATCATCTATTGACTTAATCCATATTATTATTTGTCTTTGTCACTGTTTATCCGCCAGTTTTAATGGTTCACTTTGTGTTGTACGATGTAATTTCGTTTGAGTGAACCAAGGTAATTCTGATCTTCAATTGTTTGCAGGAAGTATTGGTGTGTCATTCTTATGGACAGAGTTTTGACCCCACTTGGTTCTAAGGTACTTCTTATAGTTTAACTTTGGCTAACTCATTTCTTCTACAGTACATGTTAAATACTTAGGGGCATATCTAGTCTGTATAGCTGCCTGAGGGCACTGCTGAAGTGATATTTAGTTTATAATGTTATTATTGTTGAGTATAGCTATATAGATCTTGTGACGAATAACCGTCTTTTTGATGTCTTTGGAGCGTTCTGTGACTGCGCGTATCTCAAGGAGGTTCTCGTCAGATATACAGTAGGACGCAAAGATAGGTTTCCTGTGTTCAGACCACAACACGTTGGTTGTGGTCTTTACACTTCTATTGTAAGAAAAGCATACGCTTTAGGCCATTTGTAATTATTACAGTATTAAGAATAACGATAAATGACATAGTCACCACTTAACTTGATGCTACCAAAATTAATCCTTTTGAATGGAGTGGCTGAATTGATGAAGAACCCGCATCCTCCTCTAAATGGGATAAAACAGGTGCCTAATTTACTTTATCTATCTGTGTTTCTATCGATTTTACTTGTGGATCAGCTGGTAAGTCAGTCTTTACAGAAACCTGATTACACACACACACACACATAAGTTACGTATTCATCCCAAATTTACAGTAGAAATACATTTTACAATATTCTGTAGATTGATATGCAGTACTGCTATTCTTCTCGGAAAGAATTACGAATGAAATTAAAAGACTGACAAGGCAAAATGGAGATTCCAAACAGTGGTCCAATGAGTATGCTGATCTACTAGTTAAACACAGACTTAAGTGTGACACATTATTGAAGTCAATATAACTCAAACTACTTATAACACTGACTTTCAGTTCTGTGTTGAATCCAGCCAGCCAGCAAGCCAGGGATTTTGTTTGATTGGTTGGAGGATTTCATCATGAGCTGACATCACTTAGAGTGGCCCAGTTAGAATTCATGGACTGGTCGTTGGGTCGGGTCCCAGTGGCTTAATGGTCTATGAGCTAGCTAGCCTTGTAACCGTAAAGTCCTGGGGTCGAACCCCATAGTGTGAATGCGTCTATCTCGATGTGTCACAGTTTCAACTGCGAAAAACACTACATTGGCCAAAGTGGACGTCCCCTCCGTCTTCGTATCCACGATCATAAGCTAGCCGTCAAAAGACATGACCATATCCACTCCCTCATATCACTGCATACAGACAACCACGGACATCAATTCGATTGGGACAATGCTGAAATATTAGACAGAGGAAACAACAAGAATGCTATAGAATTTTTAGAAGCTTGACATTCCAGTGAATCATCAATCAACAGACACATCAAGATAGACAAAATTTATCAACCAATAAGAAAGAAACCTCACACACAAAAGGTTAAAGTTCAAGTCAAAGAAACAATAAGTTCCAATACAAGTTACCTAGAAGGCGTGAAAACACACAAAAACAACTAATCACGTTCAAGGTCGCCGGGAGAGATGATTAATAAACTCGAGGAGAAATTTAAAAGCTCACTTCAAGAAATTGAAGTATGCGCTGAAGATGTTGCCCAGTAGGGCGATGAAATCTTCGCAAATTAACTATCCAGCTCAGAGAACACAACCACATCAAAAAAATCTGATGAACAGAGAAATGTTTCCTACGTTTCTGTGCAACTTGTATGCATACTTCACGCCAGGAAGTGATATCTGGTGATTATTTCAGTGTGGGCTCTATATGAGCCAGTGGCTACGATTTCGTAGAAAGAGGCTGAACAAAGAGACTAAAGAAGTTTCTAGCAAGAAAAGCTAAGGCCATAATTAATAAAACTTAAGGAGATATAAATCGTACTTGTATTAAAAGCTCATCATGTATATATAGTCAATATTTAATGTGAATTCATCAATAAACAATCCCACCAACACTAAACACTTTGAAGTGAAATGTATATCGTCAGGAACATCGAGTCAAAATAGAGCACTATGAAACGACATTTTGAGACGAATGAGAGACGATATGACAGCATTCGTAATCTTATTCAATAGCCACATATACGTACAGATATCGAAAACAACCTGTGCACAGAACGCACACTTATTGCCCAGTCAAGTGGCCATAAACGGGAATAGACAACTTACCGTGGATACTCAGGTACAACATCCTTCTGTGATGGAATTATAGCCACATGTTTATTGTAGAACCATTTCAATTTAAAGCACAGATTCATATAGTCTGATGATTTACAATAACGTGTTTCAGCACGTGCATGAACATCCAGAGCAATTTGTATATCCTCAGATAAACGCTCCCACATACACAATGCACTTATGTGACCCATATTAACTTCTTGTGGAAATCTGGGGAAGAAAAAGGAGCAGAAAGATTCGTCATTAACAAGTTACACAGGTCGAGGCGGGATTCCGTAGCATTTTCCTTGTTAAACACAGAACATTTAGATCATAGTAAAATTTACTAATACAGATTTTAACCGACGCGTTGAATAATCAGTAGTAATTTTATCATAAAATTAAGTAACACAAAGACACAGTGCAGTACTCGGTGTATCACATTGGCTGACGGTAGCGCTACATATCACGAATTAGCAGAAGTTAGAGTTCATGAGCCATGGGATTGCTTTCCATTGGTTGAATGACCAACAAGCTAGCCTTGTAACTTCAGGGTCCGTAATTTGATACCCGATGGGGTGCATACTGCTTAATAGCGTCAAACAGGGACCAGACAGCTGTCCAGTACACTCTGGTTTTCAGTGGTCCCATAACTTATGACAGTTCGTAATTTAAATTAACATCACAAATTGTTAAAACGTAAATGACCACTCCCTCTTTACCTTCGCCTTTTCATTCAGTTCCAGAAACTATTATTATTATTGTTTCCTTTAATTCCTAGAGTAACATGGAGCTTCAGCCGCGTGTCTCCATTGCGTTCGGTTCTCTGCTAACGTTTTCACCCGGCTCCAAGTCTGCTCACATGCTTTCATCTCCTCTTCACATGACCTCCTCCAAGTCACCCTTGCTCTGACGACCAACTCGCCGCTTCCCTTTCGGGTTCCACTCGAGCAATGGCTTGTCTAGTGATATCACTTGATGGCTTCCTTAGAGTATGGCCAGCCAATCCACTTCCATTTCTTCCTGCCTGTCTGTTGTGCAATCGGTTCCTGGTTGGTTTGCTCCCAGAGATCTCTATTGCTGATCATTTCTGGCCATCTGATCTTGAGTATTGAGCGAAGACAGCTGTTGATGAAGGTCTGTAGTTTGTTTGAGATACTCTTTATGACGCGCAGTGCAAGTCTCTGATCCGTATAGTAGTACTGACTGACTTCACATTGGAGTTGAAAATCCGGATCTTGTTTTTGATGCTGAGGAGTGCTGTTGACCTCCACACAGACTTGAGAGTAGTGAAAGCTTGTCTTGCTTTTCCGATTCTTGCTTTGATATCCTCATCAGTTCCGCCTGTAGTTGAAACGATGCTTCCCATGTAGGTAGGTAAAAGAGGTTGTTTCTTTGAGGTTCCTTCCATTTATACTGATTGTTGTCTGTTGTTGTTGTTGCTGTTGGTGGTGTTGCCCAGGCATCTTCTGTTTCAGTTCCAGAAATAAAATATGCTTTCATCATTCTTTATATAAGACTGATAGTGACAATGAATATTCCGTCGACGTAATGTTTACAAATCAACGGACTGTAAGAGTTTACCATTATTTTCGGACGACAAATGATAGAACTAATTTCCGCAAACATGAGCAACAGGACAAATACAGTATCATATAGCAGTAGAGTAAGACCCCTGACATGTATCCTGAAGTATCACCTTCTTTGATATTTGCTAGTAAATATTTGAACTAAGCACGGTGATCTTAACAAATATTTGACTCATCAAGGAATTTACTGGCTTAGAAGCAATTTTATTTTTACTGCTGTCTTATCAAAAATTTAGAACAACACATTTAAGCGAACAATATTGTTTTCAATTAGATCTCATCAGGCTTAACTCTTATATATATATTTCACAAATAAAAATTTAAATATAAGCCAATCATGGTGTTTTGTCTATAGGATAATACAATGGTGAATATAAATTGTGCAATTAGTCATAATAGTAGTAATGATAATAATAATAGTAATAAAAATGATCTTTTCAATAATAGGGTTGAAAAAGTGAGGCAATCTGTGATAACACAAATAATGAAAAAACAGTATGATCAAACAAACAACTGTTCAGGTGGAAGTAGTCGATAAAGGCTAGTAAAAACAAATGAACCGATTAAGTAATGTTAGACTGTAAGGGAAGGAAATGAAACACGTTTATAATGAAGATCAGATTAAGGGATGCTAAGAAAGGGGTTGAAAATATAAACAAAGAGTGGTGTAGAAGTCATTAGTTGGTTATGTCTTAATAGACCTGGGAAGGGATAATGGCTGTACGAACTTTTTTTGAATACATAGTTTAGGTTTAATAGTTCGAATGCCCATTGCCATAGCTGTGTGCAGTAAACGAATACGAAGTCTATTGGAAAGATTCGGTGGGATACAATGAATTACTTTGAAGGCTCTCGTTTTCTCGATTACATGACCACTATCAATTAAGTGTGACAAAATTGAGCTACGAACTGTTTTAGTCTGTCCTTTGACAACCCACGGTGGGGGATGATCACTAACACGTTGGCTAAGCTGTCTAGTAGTACGCCCAATATAACTGTCACCGCAGGTGCAGTTGAATTGATAAATGCACATAGATATGGCAAAACTATCAAGCTTATACTTCGTTTGCGTCCCAGTCATTCGTCGGCTAGAGAATGACAAACATAGGTGTGCAGCATAAAATGTTCTTCGTATACTCCTTGAAAGTTTTTGGAATAGAATCTCACTAAATAAGTCACCATTAAATTGTAACTTAATAAATAGATGTTTCTTACGTGCAGTCAGAATCTCCGGTTTTTTCTCCGATGTTTTCATATGTTTCTTTATGAAAGTACTCGGATAGCCCATCTCCATCAAGGAATAATGAATATATTCAAATTCCTTTTGTAAGAGGTCATCCGTACATATCTTTCTTGCTCTGCTCGCAAGACATTTTACAACATTCCTTTTATATTGAATGGGCACGTAACTAAGGAAGTGTGTGTATTGCCCTGTGAATGTGCTTTTTCTATACACGCTTCTCCCAAGTGACCCATCTTCTCTCCTACTTAGCAAGACATCCAGGAAATGTATTAAAATTTTATGATTTTGGCACTAGACTGTTGAAGTTGTTGGCATCACTTTACTTAAGCCTATTTAGCACAAGGCATCTGTAATGATAGTAGCTTTATTCTGGACAGTGTTTATATAATGCATAGAGTTTTCAGCGGAGTTTGTTGTATGGTATTTTCCCTTCGTACAGGATCTTCAAATAAAATACGAATTGACGGTAGATCCTGTGACACAATGCTCTCCAACTTGAAACACAAACCAATCCATTAGGATATTTCTGCTTTGTCTCCTTCGAGAAATCCACGACATTTGGTTGAAAGCCAACTTAAAAAAATTCAGGTGTATAATTTGAGACCCAAGGAAATAACTTAAGAACAGTTATATCATGTATTGGGACGCGCCACCCACGATCGAGCCTTTTCTCATGTTTAGTAGAAACTTGCGAATCAGCATGTTGTAAACATTTTAAATTCTCGCAAGAATATACAATACCATTAGAGGTCATATTTTAATCGATTAAAACAAAGCGAACAGGAGAAATTGTATACAGTATAGAGACAGGAGTTTTTGGTGGCCCAAATTTTAAGCAAACTGCCTGTGTTTAACAAAGCATGTAACTGCAGTTAAATAGATTATCAAAACAGGAAATCAAGTGAATTTAATTATTACTGTAATGATAAAATAAGACCAAAAGATAAGAAAAGGAAAACTTACTGGTTGATCACAGTAGCATATGTTGTCTTGTCTTCGTCAATTACCGAGACTAATAATGTGATTAAACGATGCCAAAATTCCAGAGATTTCAGTGACGGTGGGCCATCATCCTGTGAAACTGACTCCTAGTAATATGAGAAGGAAACATAAATGATGTTAGGAAATGTTTACAAAAGTTCTGTTATTTAACATGATATAGTATTTCGTATACCTATAATGATATTACTGCAATTGTTAAAGTTCATTGGATATTATTATTGTTTCCTAGAGGAATATAGGGCTACAGCCGCACGTCTCCATTGCGTTCGCTTCTCCGCCGGCGTTTTCACCTGGCTTCACGTCTACCCACATGTTTCCATCTCCTCTTCACATCATGTCCTCCATGTTACCCTTGCACTGACGATAAACTTGCCGCTTCCCATTCAGGTTCCACTCGAGCGACGGCTTGGCGTGTGATGCCACTTGATGGTTTGTTTTCTCAGAGTATGGCCAGCAAATCCACCTCCAGTTCTTCCTACATATTTGCCGCACAATTGGTTCCTGCTGAATTGGTTCGCTCATTGCCAGAGATCCCTCAATATGCTGATCTTTTCTGGCCGGCCATCTGATCTTGAGTAGTACTGAGCGAAGACATCTGTTGATGAAGTTCTGTAGTTTGTTCGAAGTGGCCTTCGTGACGCAGCGTTAAATCTCCGATCTGTATAGTAGCACTGACTTCATATTTTCATTTTCATGCTGAGTACTGTTGACCTCCACACAGACTTGAGAGAAATGAAAGCTTGCCTTGATTTATCCTCGCTTTGATATCCTCATCAGTTCCGTCCGCCTGTAGTTGAAACGATGCTTCCCAGGTAGGTAGGTAGGTGAAGGAGGTTGTTTCTTTCAGATTTCTCTTATTTATGCTGGTTGATTGTTGTCTGTTGTTTTTGCTGTTCATTAGATAAAACAGCATAAAATAACTCAAGGGGATTCACTAGATATTGGCGTTAACTTCTTTAAAATGAATAATTAGTGAATGCTATGGAATCTATTGTGCATTCATTGGTGGTTCATCGGTAGAATACCTTCTATCACGCACTTGGCCCGGGGTTCGACCCACGGCAGACTCACTCCTTAACCTCATTTAGCCGGTAGTGAGCTCGATAAAGAGGGTAGGTTGGGCGTGAGGCTAGTGACCTTATCCCTTAAAAAGAAATACCACTGTAACTGAAACTTCGAAGCTCAAGCTTGAATCCCTCTCGAGATTCCACTCGAGATGCAAAGAATTACAATCCGAGAATAGTTTAGATAATAATGAGTAATCAACCTCAGTAGTTATATTATTATTGTTCCCTTGGGTTCCTAGTGGAACATAGGGCTTCAACTGCACGTCTCCACTTGCTTCTGTCTTCTGCTGTACTTTTCACCTGCATCCATGTTAGTCCATACTGTTTCAACTCCTCTTCACACGATCTCCTCCATGTCACCCTTGGACGTCCCACTCGCCGCTCCCCTTTCTGGTTCCACTCGAGCTATGGCCTGACAAGCGATGTCACCCAGCGGCCTCCTCAGCGAGTGTCTAATCCATCTCCACTTTCTCCTGCATGTTTGTTGAGCGATTGGTTCTTGTTTCATTTGTTTGTTCCCATAGTTTCTTGTTGGTGATTCTTTCCGGCCATCTGATCTTGAGTATAGAGCGAATCTAGTTAGTTGTTGATAAAGGTCTGCAACAGGCTGTTGGAAATATTCTTTGTGACACACTGGCCAAGTTTCTGATCCGTATAGAAGAACTGACTGACTTGACGTTTGTATTGAAAATCCGAATTTTGTTGTTGATGCTGAGTTGAGTGAGGAAGATTTCCAAATTGGTTTAAGGTTGATGAATGTGTTTCTCACCTTCCCGATTCTCGCTCGATTTGACATCCTCGTCCGTTCCTCCTGTAGTTGAGACAATGCTCCCTAGAAAAGTGAAGTGAATGAAGTAACCTCTTTCAAATCCCTCCTGTTGATGGTGATTGGCGCTGGATGTTGTTGCTGCTACTGCTGTTGTTGTTGTTGGTCGGTTATTTTCATAACCTCCGTCTTGTCTATGTTCACCTGGAGTCCTGTCTTTTTTGCTTCTTCGATTAGTTTGTTGGTTTTCGCTTGTAAGTCTTCAGTTTTTTGTGACATCAAACATAAGTCATCCGCGATATCCACAGTAGTTAGCGAATAGTAAACTAACTGCTTGCATTATTATACCAGTCATACTTATGAGAATTGATCATCCTTTAAGAGGAGGACCTATTTAAAATAAGGTTTACTCTTCACAATTCACGCTCTATTTCTTCCCACAATCTATTTTTAGTCAGTCCAATAAAGACAGATTATACTTTCTCACTTCATTAACTCTGACACCAAAATAATACGGATGATAAGGTTTATTGGGTTAATCTCTATTTCCATATCGATGTGTTATTGAATCGCAGTAAAACATTTTCCTGAATAAATGAATGAATGAATATATATGCAAAATTTAACAGTAGAACTGTTGTCTTTTCTTCTTGGAGTGAAGAATGTGTTGAACGCTGTAATTATACATAGAATATGCGTGAAAATTCATGTTTTCATTTTATGCATCCGTAGAAGTAGAAGATTCGACTGATGGATGAAAATATTCAGGATGAATGGTGAAATAAACCCATATGCATATCTGTGGTGAGAGCTGTCTACTAGCCAAATTGGTAGACAGTAATTTACGTCAATGTTTACGTTCCCAAGATTTGTCGTGAGAAAATGTGAACAAAGATTGATTCAAAACCGACCACAGCATACTTTGCGTAGGCGGATGCAGTTAACATATAGATGATTTGACATTCAAGAAACAGGCACAAATAGATGAAAGATTAACTTTACGTGAGAAACAACCAATCGGAAGACTGTGTTTGTTTGCTTAACTAAACTATAATAATGTACATGCAAATATATAAATATGCGTTGATTTCCTTAATAAATGATCTGTTGCCTGACCCTTACCTTCTGTTGTTACATATCTACAATATGGCAAAATATTAAACCAAAAGCCCCCAAGGAAAGCACAAAGAAAGTTGGCCTGCCATATATAAAGGACATCTCAGAAATCAGTGCAAGACTCTACAAACCTTTAGGAATTGAAGTCACACACAAACCAACAAAATCACTTCACTCAGTTCTATGTCAACCAAAAGACACAACAGCGAAAGAAGATAAAACCTACATCATCTACAAAATAAATTGTAACAACTGCGAAAAACACTACATTGGCCAAATTGGACGTCCTCTTCGTCTTCGTATCCACGAACATAAGCTAGCCGTCAAAAGACATGACATCCACTCCCTCATATCACTCATTGCATACAGACAACGAAGGGCATCAATTCGACTGGAACAACATTCAAATATTAGACAGAGGAAACAACAAGAATGCAAGAGAATTTTTAAAAGCTTGGCATGCCAGTGAATCGTCAATCAATAGACACGTTGAAATAGACAAAATTTATCAACCGATAAGAAAGAAACCTCACACACAAAGGGTCAAAGTTCAAGTCAAAGAAACAATCAGTTCCAATACAAGTAGCCTAGAAGGTGTGAAAACACACGAAAGCAACCAATCACATTCAAGGTCACCGGGAGAGATGATTAATCAACTCGTGGAGAAATCTACAAAGCTCACTTCAATAAATTGAAGTATGCGCTGAAGATGTCACCTAGTAGGGCGATGAAAGCTTCGCAAATTAACTATCCAGCTCAGAGAATACAACCACATCAAAATATGGCAAAATAACTTTGGGCAGATGTGCTGAAATCTGAACCACAGACTTACTCAAACCAGTAAGGTGCACCTCTATTTTATTCAGTAAAACAAAATTTAGAAAAAAACACAGTCATTAACGTAGTCACGCCGTTTTCTTTACCATTTCATTTGCGTTCAAGCTTCGAAGTTCCTGTAGTGTGGGTTTTGTCTTTGAAGAACGGGGTTGCTAGCCTCAGGTCCAACCTTCCTCCTTCTTCAGGCTAGTAAACTAGGCGCCGTTTAGATGTGCATCGGCTGGGAATCAGAGCCGGACCTACGGCATGACTGTTGAGCGTTTTACCACTGAACAACCTACGCTTCTCAAAACTGCACATACATATTTGGATCATATACCATCTAGAAATATACGTATATTCAGAACTGCTTAGTGAATGTAAACTCACTATTTGATTAATTTAGTGTCAGTGATGTACAAGCACAAGTCTGTTATCATTACAACTGACTGTAAATAATGTATTTGTTAATGGAGTGTCATAATTGTCTATTTAGATGAATGCATTAATTTCATAAATGTGTTGAAACATACATATATTACTAAAACATCGCTAAGATTTATAGATCATAGTTAATCATAGTGGAGATGCTCTAAAAGTGGACAAACACTCTCTTATTTCTTTCACTCTGAGCTGAACACAGAGATAGAGACATGTGCTTGGCGTATTTAAACAATCAAATGGTATAGATGAAGCGAACTAACCTAACAGTAATAAATATTAATAATGAAATAGATCAGTAGTATACAAATCACGGTTGATTAGTTGATAAATTACATTTAAATGATAAAAATAACAGTAGAGATCAATAAACCAAAGAAGAGAGGTAATAGTACATCTGGTCTGGTATCAAAACAAAGTTTACCAAGGAAGGTTGAATGTGATGATGAACTGCTTTTGAACGCCCGTAAAGGTGGTGTAAACCTCCTAGTTGCTAGGGCTTCCACAAAATTTAGGATACACCCCAAACACGTTTTATAGGTAGGTTTAAAAGACGTGTAAACATCAATTTGACGTCCTGTCTTTATAATATATTTCGCAATAGAAGAGCCAGGTCGTCTGTTCTCACTATTAATGGGTTCTATGTTGCCATTTAGGAATATGCTTTGAAGCCCTTACTTGCAAAGACCAATGAGTCCTCTCTATTTATGGTGGTCACATTTAAATAGAACAGGTAAATGCGATGGGATGCAACATCATTTTAACTTGACCTGTGTCTATTTTCCAGCCCCTTAACTCTTTATCATTTCCATATATATATATATATATATATATATATATATATCCATATGACAAGCACGTTTATGAAATTTGTTGCGAAATACGTATGCGATTCAGATAAGTTACGTCTTCTTATTGCTTTGTCGAAATTCATAAAGAGAACTAATTGTTTCAAATCTAAGTGATCATTTAATTTCATAATATATTAATGAAATCTTACAAAGAGAAGTGACAAATACTCAAACACTGTCAAGAATTAAAAGGTAACAAGTTAATATTTAAGCCAAAAATAGATAAGCACTGTAGTAGAAAGAAAAAAGTTAGTCACTAGGCAAAGTAGAAAAGGTGTACTTACCTGAAATTGTTTCGCGTACACTTCATTCACATTTTCATAAATAAATTGATAAGTTGACTGCATACAAGCACGAGCACATTCTTTTACCACTTGACTAGCTCTTGGTGGACTAGTTAACTCTTGTACCTTAATGTAAAAGTGTAGAAAATGTGTAGGAAAAGTGGTTAGTGACTGGTATAGTAATATAAGTGATTATTCATCAAATTCATCATGTGATAACTACAAATTTCCAGTAGTTAAGTATACTGTTTAAAAGTAGTAAACGAATACGAAGTTTTCATGCATAATTATGATAATGATGCCTTTAACTCCTGAGTATTGAGCGAAGACAGCTGTTAATGAAAGTCCGTAGTTTGTTCGAAGTGCCCTTCGAGACGCACCAAGTCTCTGACCTGTATAGTAGATACTTGGCGCGTCGCGAAGGGCACTTCGAACAAACTACAGACATTCATCGACAGCTGTCTTCGCTCAAGATCAGATGGCCAGCCAGAAAACATCAGCAACAGAATCTCTGTCAATGAGCAAACCAACCCAGAAGGAACCAGTTGTGAAACGAATGAGCAGGAAGAAATGGAGGTGGATTGGAGGCCATACTCTGAGAAAACCATCAAGTGAGTGACATCACACGCCAGGCCATCGCTCGAGTGGAACCCGAATGGGAAGTGGGGGGGTTGGTCGTCAGTGCGAGGGTGGTGTGACATGGACGAGGAGGTTATGTGAAGAGGAGATGAAAACATGTGGGTAGACATGGGGCCAGGTGAAATGGCTGACGGAGAACTGAACGCAATGGAGACGTGTGGCTGAAGCCCTATGTTCTTCTAGGAACTAAAGGAAACAATAATAATCCCTTTAACTCAGAATTATTATGGCGTTGGGTGCCACTATTGTTAACTCAGTTCCTAAGGTTTCTCCATCTAATTATGTCTTTGAAAATAAACTACTTGGAATGTGATATACATCGGAACATCTATGTTCGACCACCGCGAAATCCAGTTGAACTAGGAAAGCTTGAAAAATCATCAGCCATAGGTGGTCTACACACTATAGAATCAGCCCACAAAATTGATTTTGACAATATTAAAATCATCATCCAGAAAAAGCATTTCAGAAATCACAAATAACATCCCATTTCATCGGAAGCACTTCATATCAAATGGAATCAAAACTTTTCTGAATAGGAATGATTCACTAAAACAGAATTTGACCTAGTTACAACACCCCCTACCGTCTCCCATGAAATGACAAAATCAACACTAATGTAATAAACAATTTCATTATGTAAACACACGCTGCTTTTATAATTTTGCACACTTATCAAATCCAACAATCTACGCCTGGTTTTGTTATCTTTATCAATTGGTCAACTTGACAGCGCAAAAATGACTCCATGCTGAGGAACGATGATTAAGCTGAGTGGATTTTTGTAAATTCTGGTTTAATATCACTACTTTGATAAAGCTATTAGCAGCAACATTAAATAGCGAAACGTCAGTAAAAACAACAATATCGTTTTGTTTTCCATCCATTAGGAAATGCAAGAAAATCTTTATTATAATGAATATCATATACCCAATGCCCAAATTTTTTCATACTGTTAAAAGCAAACTTGGTTTGGACGTATATAAACTAATGAAAGGAAAGGCATTCGCTTTCTCGGTAAATAGTGAATTAAAGCGCATTGATGAGCAAATCATATGATACACAATTATTATTTAGCGGCAATCTGAAGACATCGTCTTAGTGAGGATGAAGACTTAGGAAGTCGTGCGTAATAAAGGTAAACAGTGAGTTGGTTTGTGTTACCATTAAAACTATGTAAAGACACCGGCCTAAACCGTTGGTTAGACTGACAAATGAAAGCTGGTCTTAATAGTCAGCGGTTTACCAAAAAAAACACGACTAAGACTTAGTTAGACTCTGTGCTATTTTCTTTGCTTTCTTTGCCTGAGAACTGGGACTATAATCCTGTTGATATCAATTTGAACATTTCATTTTCAGTGAGTATCTCAATGTATTAGGTGTAGTCTACCAGTCGAGAGGGATTCAGATAATTCAACATAAAACTGATTAATTACATTAAGACACTAGTATTAGCTTTTTGCATGAAACAAAATTAATATTGGTTACAGGATTTCATCATGAGCTGACATTGGTTAGAGAACTATTGGAAAACCTGCACGGAGTACTGCACAGCTGTTTCGTCCTAGTTTGGGACTCTTCGTCAGTGCGCACCCTACTGTAGCAGGTCGGGTGTGAGGACAAACACTCGCCGAAAACATTGGCTAGTGGTCGCGCTATGTCGTGAACTGGCAGAAGTTGGAATTCATGGGTCGTTGGGTCGGGTTCCAGTGGCTTAATGGTCTATGAGCTGGCTCGCCTTGTAACCAGAAGGTCGTGGGTTCGAACCCGGTGGGTGCGTACTGATGAAGAGTCTCAAACTAGGACGAAACAGCTGTCCAGTACTCCCAGGTTTTCCAATGGTTCTCTAACCAATGTCAGCTCATGATGAAATCCTGTAACCAATCAACCAAATCCCTACAAACCAATGCTTGAAAATTAATATTCTTCTAGGGCTTAAAATGAAATCAGTATTTTGTTGTTAACACGTTTACTCCGTGTTGTACTTTTAGCTAAGTTGATTCAAGCATAAATATCGGTAAGTACAGCTGAATGCCTTGATCTCTTCTACTGATCATGATTTATTTTGTCAGATAGAGTAGTCCGTCAAAGGAAAACTAAGTGCACTAAGTACCATGAAGGCTAGGAAGGCAGTGGGACTGAACAGAATTCCTCTTGAAGTACTGAAAACGGATCCAGAGACCTCAGCGGATATGCTCACGCCACTATTGCAAACCTTTTGGAGGGAAGAAAAGCTACGTACTGATTGGGAGAAAGGCTACCTTGTCAAACAAGGATGATATTAGGCCTCTTCAAGCACTGGCGGGGAATCATGCTCTTGTCTACGCTAAGAAAAAAATATTAAGTCGCGTCATTCTGGAGAAGCTAAAAGTTGCGCTATCAGAAACAGGCAGGATTCAGGGAAGGCAAATCATATGCTGATTAAATTGCAACTCCACGCATCATAATCAAACAGTGCATAGAATGGCAGTCAAATCTCAGCCTTAGCTTCATCCGCTTTGAGAGGGCCTTCGAAAGTGTTGACCAAGAAGTAATTTGGGAACTAATTCAACACTATGAAGTGCCCCAAGTCTTTATCAATCTCATTCAACAACTACATGACGAAGGCACGCATCAGATGATCCACAACGGAAAGCTCAGGGAGGCGTTTGGAGAGAATACAGGAGTGAGATAAGGCTTCCTACTATCATCAACGACATTCCTAATTGTAGTGGACTGGATCATGCATTAGACTGTGAGTAATTTATTTCACATATCCAGAAAGCATCAGTTCAACTACAGAAGACAGCACGGTAGCGATGTCAAAACCGGAATTGGAAAGGTAAAAAAGACATTTGTTACACCGAAATCAGTTTGGAAATCTCCTGTACATAGCACAAAGAACAAACTTCGGATTTTCAGTGCTAATGTTAAGGTAGTTCTTCTATAAGAGTCAGTAAATTGTCACATCATGGCAAGGCTTTCTAACAGGCGACTGAAAACTTTTATCAACAGTTGCGTTTGCTGCCTCTATAATGAAGATCAGATGGCCAGCCAGAAAGAATCAGCAACAAGAAAATCTGGGAAAAAATCAATCAGGAGCCTTTAGCTGTTAAAGTATCCTGAATAAAATAGAGATTGTTGCGACACACTATAAAGAGACCGCTGGATGACGTCACGCGCAAGGTTCTCGAGTGGAACTGAAATGGAGAACGGTTAGTTGGAGGTCCGATGAAGGTATGGCGAGATCGTTAGAGGACGATATGAGAACCTATGGACAATCGTAGCGCCGGTAAAGAGGACCGCATAGAACAGGAAAAAACAGAAATGCTCTGCTGAAGCTCTATGTTCCACTTGGAACCCAAGGGAATAATAACAATAAATAAAATATCTAAAGAAATAGAATAAAGTCAATAACAATAACAAAAGTATAACCTCGATAAATAAAAATCATTAGCAATGATATCAAAGTAAAATTAATAAATAGTCATTAACAGATCAGAAGATAAAACTGATTTGAATAATATATATATTAAAGAGAGAAAAACAACACACAAAACTAAAACTAATTAGAGACAAAAAAGAAGAGAGAGAGAAAAAGCCTCTCCTTTTAAATTCCCCTATATTTTTCTCTTTTTTTGTTAGGCAACTAACTTACTTTCATTCTGAAGAATGTTATACTTGTTAGCAAGTCGACAGTTGATTTCAAGTCTTGTAATTTGTCAGGTTGTGAAGCAGGAAATGAATTCTATAAAAGCAAATAAAACATTTTATTAAAAAAAGTAGCGTTGGCGCAAATTATGAGGATTTGTAGGCATTATTATTTGTATATAGATAATTATTAGAGTTGAAATGAAATCTTAGCAACGACGAAGATATTCAAAGTTTTAACTAGAATTAACTGGAAGGAAGACATGATTCTAGGCTTTGTGCATGTATAAACAAGGTATATTTGTAACATTGAGTTTAACTCCTATTATTATTATTATTGTTCCCTTGGGTTCCTAGTGGAACATAGGGCTTCAACTGCACGTCTCCACTTGCTTCTGTCTTCTGCTGTACTTTTCACCTGCATCCATGTTATTCCATACTGTTTCAAATCTTCTTCACACGACCTCGACCATGTCACCCTTGGATGTGCCACTCGCCACTTCCCTTTCGGGTTCCACTCAAGCTATGGCCTGACGCGCGATGTCACCCAATGGCCTCCTCAGCGAGTGTCCAATCCATCTCCACTTTCTCCTGCATATTTGTTGGGCGATTGGTTCTTGTTCTGTTTGGTTGTTCCCATAGTTTCTTGTCGGTGATTCTTTCCGGCCATCTGATCTTCAGTATAGAGCGAATCTAGTTAGTTGTTGATAAAGGTCTGCAACAGGCTGTTGGAAATATTCTTTGTGACACACTGGCCAAGTTTCTGATCCGTATAGAAGAACTGACTGACTTGACGTTTGTATTGAAAATCCGAATTTTGTTGTTGATGCTGAGTTGAGTGACGAAGATTTCCAGATTGGTTTCAGGTTGATGAATGTGTTCCTCGCCTTCCCGATTCTCGATTTGACATCCTCGTCCGTTCCTCCTGTAGTTGAGACAATGCTCCCTAGATAAGTGAATGAAGTAGCTTCTTTCAAATCCCTCCCGTTGATGGTGATTGTCACTGGATGTTGCTGCTGTTGTTGTTGTTGGTTGGTTGGTTATTTTCATAATCTATGTCTTGTCCGTGTTCACCTGGAGTCCTGTCTTTGCTGCTTCTTCGACCAGTTTGTCGGTTTTCCTATAGATATGGGTTATTTTTATGAATCGGACATTGGATAGTAATCGATGAAGCCATCTAGTTGCGTTGATTGAAACCAACTCATCCAGACCAGTTACTAAGATATGCGGTATGATGCTGCCAGGAATTACTTTAGACTTTTGGAGGAATTAGTCAGCTGGTAGCTATGAGTCTGTATTTCGTGTTTATTTGGTAAAGTGAATACCACATGATTTAGTTTCATAATGACTTGATTTGTGCGTCAGTGGTGCAGCGGTAGAATGGTTGCCAGCCACGCAGGTGGTTTGGGGTTCGATCCCCGGCCGACACTTTCCCTTACCTCGCTAAGCCTCTAGCTTGAAGCCCTATGTTCCACTGGGAACGTAAAGGAATAAAACAAAATGACTTGATTATCCTGTTGATTCTTGGTACTATGTAATTTGGCGTCACTTTGATTTGAATTAAACTTAAGTGAAATTACTTTTTTCAATATTTAGAAGCAACTATGCCTTAGTGTTTTAGTTCTCAGTCTATCCACACCTTGTCGTAGTTTAATAAATGCAGTTGAAGATGATAACCTTTACTTGTTGAACACTTTTCCCTAATACATACTTGGAATCCTGTAAACTAATGTTGTTATACGGACTTTTTAAAAACTTTTTCATCATTTAACTGCAGATAACTTTCAATTCTTTTCTCTGTGTGTGTGTGATTCTTCTCTCTTTGTCTTCATTCAATTCATCCCATTTTTTCGGTTATTATTTTTTATCCTTCACGTTCCCCAATGGAACATAGGGCTTCAAGCTAATGGCTTGAAGTTTCTGTAGCAATGTTTATTTTACAGGATGGGGTTGCTAGCCAGCCGCATGCCCAACCTCTCCTCTTCACCAGCATTATTTCTGGCTTAGCGAGGTAAAGGAGTGCGTCGGCCAGGGTTCGAACCCCGGACCATGTATATGGTCGGCGAGTGGCCTAACCGCTATGCCATCAACGCAGAACAATTATTTTAAGTTTGTTTCCATGCTTTCCCTGATCACATTTATAATTCATTTAAAATAACTAGTTCACAATTATATCCTAATCCTGTGTAATTTTTGGATTTTTAAGGCTCTTGTTATCTATATTCACACCTACTAACTTCTATTTCAAGTTGAAAATTATATTTGTCTCCATGCTCATTTTCTACACACCTTTAATTCGTTCTAATCCTGTGTAGTTTTGTTTCTACGCCTCTCGTAAACCATATCAAGTTGAAAATAATTGTCACCTTTTATTCGCCTTCGTAGTTATGTGGAATCAAGTAAATATTGTATCTATATAAAATTATGTATTTAAATGCGATTGATTGCACAGCTTTTGAAAATGAAACCGCCGAAAAGATATCTTTGCTGAACTTCGTGTCCTAATGGGTATTTTCCACTAACTTTCAGTTTCCCTTTATTTATAGAGCTGTTCAATTTGCGTAGGCTCTCTAAAGATGGAGCCGAATGATATTATGGCAAAAATAGGCATTTGCTGAAGTTTGTATACTTTCTAACAATGATTCTATGAGTATATGACATATACTGTTGGCCACTATTATTATCATTATTATTATTTCAGTTTGTTTATGACTGTGTTCACGTTCATATCTATTCTTTCCCTATGAAAACTTTTGCTTTCAAGCACACATAAAAGTGTTAAAGAAAGGTATGTATAAATGCCACTATCGGGTGATGAGAGATCAAATCAATAAATGATGAGAAAGCTGCATTATATATATATATATATATATCGCTAAAAGCTAGTGAGATACACACAGTGATATGAAGTAGCCAGAATTAAGTAGTATAAGAAACATTGAAGATAGAAGGAAGAGAGGAATTAAACATTTAAGTATACATTAAAATAATGATTAAATATTTGTGGAGTGTTTTTGTTTTAAATGTGTCGGTGATTGAGTGGTAGAATGCTCGCCAACCGCTCATGTGATCCCGATTCGATTTCCGGACGACACACTCCATAACCCGGTAGTAGGCACAGTAAAGAGGGCAGGTCGCACATGAAGCTAGCAACCTTACCCCTTAAAAATATCACCACTACTGAAACTCCAAGTGCGTCGGTGGTATAGCGGTTAGGACGCTCACCGACCATGCACATGGTCCAGGGTTCGATTCCCGGCCAACGACGCACTCCTTTACCTCGTTGAGCCAGAAATAATGCTGGTTAAGAGGGAAGGTCGGGTATGAGGCTAGCAGCCCCATCCTGTAAAATAAACACTGCTACAGAAGCCTCAAGCCTCTAGCTTGAAGCCCTCTCTATGTTCCACTGGGAACGTAAAGGAATGAAAAGAAGTTAGAATGTAATTCAGCATTAGATAAGTTTATGTGAAATAGCCAGTTATCATTACCGTATCACTGTCTGTCACATTGAATCAACTTATCTAATACGGAAAGTAGAAATCAGAAAAAATAATCAATACTGCATTAGGACTGATGATTTTGGCAGATACAACGACCAGTTGCCTCTCAAGAATGATGGATTAATCACAGAGAGATATGTAGCTGTCAAATAAATGATATATATATATATATATCCGATATGTGACAGTGAAAAATCACTTCAATATGATGTGAGTTTCCTTGAAACTGACAGTTTGAATTTGGGTTGTTGATGTGCATATATAAATACATGTTTTTGGTGTGGTTGTGTTCTATGAGCTGGATAGTTAATTTGCGAAGCTTTCATCACCCTACTAGGTGATATCTTCGGCGCATACTGCAGTTTGAAGTGAGCTTCTAGATTTCTCCACGAGTTTATTAATCATCTCTCCCGGTGACCTTGGACGTGATTGGTTGTCACGTCACAGTAATTATCTGAAGTATGTTATGTGACATAGTGTTGTTGCATATGAAGAGAAAACCAATTCTGTACCCTTTTTTTGTTCACTTCCTTGAAGAATAACTCAGTGTTTCGTTGAAAGCTAATTAAATATGTGCGCGAGTTCATTTAGTGAACATTTAATATAACTGCATGATTAAAACAACAAGAAATGAAGACGAGTTTAGGCATTTTGGTGGATGGCAACTCTGGTAGTCCAGTGATTTAAGCAGGCAGCCGTTATATACATATTTTGAAGCTTAACTTAGAGATGAAACTTGTATTTTGGAAAGTAGGAATGGGTCGTAAAAGGAACTTATATGAAAAGTAAAAGTTGAAGAATTATCTATCATGTTATGTACTCTTATGGTAATGTTTACATTTCACTTACACGATACATTGACAAGCTGATACGTAGAGAGTTGTGCAGTTGATCCAACAGTTTAACAAATTTCTCTTTCTGTTAAATAGAAAATCAAAAATAATGCTGGTTATTAATCTGATTGAATAAAGTTGACAGACTCTTTATAAAGTTAAGACAATAGTCCCTTTACAATCAATTGAATGAACATAATAAGTTTGAAGTTTTAAAAGAAACAATAGTTGCCTCTAGTTTTTACTACATCTTGTTATAGCATTAAAATAAATATAAGAGTACAGCTAAGTCAGGTCTTCAGTTAATGTATGTATAAAACTTGAGCAATGTGGTAGTGTGTAATTCCATTAGACAGTGTACGCGTCGAATCAAAGGTAAAGGCAGTTCAACTCACTTATGAGTCGGAAAATCATGCAGGTGAGCTCCCAGTATTACAATATATCACGAAAGAAAGACAGCTATTTCGGCCTAGCCTTGGACTCTTCGGTGGCACTTACTTTCTGGGGTTAGAACCCAGGATGCCTGGGTTACAAGGCCATTAGATCGGGTCCCAGTGGATAAATGGTCTACGAGTTCGCCTTGTAATCAGAAGGTTCTGGGTTAAACCCCCGTGAGCGCAAGCTGATGAGGAGTCCCAAGCTAGGCAGAAACAACTGTCAAATGCTCCCTGGTTTTCCTATGGTCCTCTGACTGACATCAGCTTGTGATCAAACATTTTTGATCAATCAAATCCCTGCGAACCAGCACTTCGAAAAAAGGAAACAAGTTGAGAAGTTAAACACCGGTGTTCACGGAAAACCCACCCATTCAAACAGATATTGGGACTCCCGGTCATCCCGCCTTTTCGGGAATGAACATAAGATTAGTGAAGTGCTTAAGTAACAGAGGAAAAAATACTAAATAGGACCAAGGAAAATATAAGGCAGAAAGTAAGACATACAAGAGAGAAGCTCTGAAACTTAATAATTACCCTGATAAATTAATCAGGAAGTATGTAAGAAACTGTAAGATTAAAATTAAAAATAACAGTGATAAGTACAATAAGCATGATAGACATACAGAGAAAGCCGAAAACACCAATAGTAGGGAATTTAAAATATCAGCAGTGTTTCCATACAAAGAAGGAACCTCTGGAACCTTACGTAGAATTTTTAACATGGCAGGAATGAAAGCGGTTATTCAAATGCACATACTCACTTAAAAACAAATCATGTCCGTTAAAGTATCCTGTGAAGCCCATTCAGGAAAATAATTTGGTTTATCTCATATCCCGCAATCGTAGTCAGATCAAATGCATGCTACAGTGTAGTAGAACGGGGTTAATAAGATTAGCCGAGCATAAAAACCTAGCAGAAACTAGGTTAGCTGACGTTAGTAAGATAAGAAATCTAGAAAACAACTCACCTATAGAAATACGCGCAGTTACACACAAAACGCATACAATAGGATGGGATAAGATGACTGTCTTAAAATCTAATGTAACCAAATGAAGGGAGAGATAGATAGCTGAAGCTTTATTGATCGAATCAACTGAGAATACCTGAGATAGGAATGATTCACTAGGAAATTCTGATATCCCAACGACAAGAGCAAAGGAAGAAAGAGAATCATAAAACTCAAGTTTCGAAGTGGTAAAGTGGTTATGAATGGATGAAAAACTTCGACCGGAACAGGCTGGATTCAGGAGAAATAAGTGATGCATCGCCACATTATGGATCATCATTGAACAAAGTTTGGAATGGCAGTCAGCTCTCTATCTCAACTTCATTGACTTTGAAAAGGCCTTCGACAGCGTCGACTGAGAGGTGATTTGGCAACTACTGGGTGCCACCAACAATTATACACCTCATTCAACAGTTGTACGACAATGCTGAGTGCCAAGTAATCCACAACGGGAAACTTACGGAATCCTTCGAAGTGAGGACAGGATTAGGACAAGGCTGCCTACTATCGCCAATGATTTTCCTGATTGCAGTAGATTGGATAATGCGACAAACAGCGGGCAATGAGGAAACAGGCATAAAATGGACCCACATAAAAAACTTGGAGGATCTGGACTTCACCGATGATATATGTCTGATTTCCCACAAACTGGAAGATCTGCAAGTGAAAAGCAACAAGTTGGCAGAAGAAGCATCCAGAGAAGATAGGAAGGACTTCAGGTGAACATAGACAAAACAGAGGTGATGAAAATTCCTGGGCAACACCACCAACAGCAACAGCAACAACAGACAACAATCCGCATAAATGGGAAGAACCTGAAAGAAACAACCTCCTTTACCTATCTGAGAAGCATCCTTTCAACTACAGGTGGATGGAGCTGACTAGGATATCAAAGCGAGAATCGGGAAAGCAAGACAAGCTTTCATTTCTCTCAAGTCTGTGTGGAGGTCAACAGCACTCAGCATGAAAATGAGAATAAGATCCGGATTTTCAACTCCAATGTGAAGTCAGTGCTGTTATACGGAACAGAGACTTGGCCAGCGCGTCATAAAGAGCATCTCAAACAAACTACAGATCTTCATTATCAGTTGTCTTCGCTCAATACTCAAGATCAGATGGCCAGAAAAGATCAGCAACAGAGATCTTTGGGAGCGAACCAACCAGGAACCGATTGTGAAACAAATAGGCAGGAAGAAATGGAGAAGGATTGGATGGCCATACTCTGAGGAAGCCATCAAGTGACATCACTAGACAAGCCATTGCTCGAGTGGAACCCGAAGGGGAAGCGGCGAGTTGGTCGTCAGTGCTAGGGTGACTTGGAGGAGGTCATGTGAAGAGGAGATGAAAACGTGTGGGCAGACATGGAGCCAGGTGAAGACTCTATCAGAGAACCGAACGCAATGGAGACGCACGGCTGAAGCCCTATGTTCCTCTAGGAATTAAAGGAAACAATAATAATAAAAATAAAGTGGTTATGAACAATGAATTTTGTTCAAAACATCATCCAATAGGTTTTTAGTTATTTAACAAATCCTTGAATTTATAAACAGAAGATGAAATCAATCAGTAAAGAGACAAAAAAATACCATGACTTTTCTGGTTAGTTAGAATTATCATTTTATTTCTCATACAGGAGACAGAATCTCATGTGAACAAGAAAAGGTATACGAAGTTAACAAGGATTTGAGGGGTAAGTGAAACTGATGTCTACTTGGAATGATGGTACAAACTGGACGATAGAGTGTTTTTTTTACTAATACTGTCAATTTACTTTTCACTACAATTGTTATTATTGTTATACCCTTGAGTTCTGAGTGGAACACAGGGTTTCAATAGCAAGCACGTCACCACTTCACTCGGTTCTCTGCAGTCAGTCCTCTTTAGGTGGACTCACGGTCGCCCATAAGTTCTTGTCCCCTCCACACACTATCTCCTCCATGTCACTCTTGGACCGCCGACTCGTTTCCCACCTGAAGCATTACATAACCCAACGGCCTCCTCAGCGTTTGTCCGACCCATCTCCACTTTCTTCGACATACTTTTGGCGCGCGGGGTTCTTGATTGGTTATCTCCCAGAGTTTATTGTTCCTAATTCTTTCTGGCTGGCCATCTGATCTTCAGCATAGAGCCAGCGAAGGCAGCTGTTCACTAGACAATGAAGTGGCTTGTTAGAAATGATTTCCATGACGCGTGAGCCAAGTTTCTGACCATAAAGAAGCACTGACTGATTTAACATTTGTGTTGGAAATCCAAATTTCGTTCTTTCTGCTGAGTGCAGTAGATTTCAACATTGACTTCAGAGTGATGAATGTCCGTTTTACCTTTCGGATTCTGGTTTTGACATCCTTATCGGTGCCACCTGTAGTTGAAACGATGCTTCCTAGATATGTGAAGGAAGTGATGTCTTTCAAATTTTTTCAGTTGATAATGATTGGTGCTTGCTTGTTGTTGTTGGCCAGTGTTTTAATCGCTCCCATCTTCTTTGTATTCAGTTGAAGTCCTGCTTTCGCAGCCTGCTTCTTCAGCCAGTTTCTTGCTATTCGTCTGCAAGTCTTCGAGTTTGTATGACATTAAACATAAATCATCCACGTGCGAAGTCTAGATCCTCTAGAGTCTTCTTATCCGTGGTCCAGAGTATTACTGTCTCCTCGCTCCCAAGCACAGTCTGACCCATAATCCAGTCCACCACAATTAAGAATATCATCGGTGATAATAGGGGCAGTCATTTTTTAAAATCCTGTATTCACTTCAATGCTTCACTGGGTCTTTCGTTGTGGATCACCTGACATGTGGCATTGTCATATAGCCAGCTGTTGAATGAGGTTGATAAATATTTGGGGTACACCACACCGGAATGTTGAAGCAGTTTTTCCAAATTACTTCTCGGTCAACGCTGTCTTTCGAAGGTCTTTTCGAAGTTGATGAAGTTAAGGTAGAGAGAGAGGTTTGACTGCCATTCTATGCTTTGTTGGGGTTGCAATTCGATCCGCATATGATCTGCTTTTCGTGAATCCAGCTTGTTCCAAGCTGGTGTAGTTCTGCATCCAGTGATTCCTTTTTAGTGCAAAAAAGACTCGAATTGAATTCACAAACGTGATAAAGAAAGATTTTATTTTCTTCGTTTAAATCAGCGCTACGTGTTTTTTACAGAAGTATGCAAATCCTGTTTATACTCTTACTGTACGACATGGATTAAGTATTCAAGTATTTGACTGTTGGCTGTTATAATCTCTTTCGTGTATTTAATCACAAGCGAACTAACCTATAAAGGGTAAACTATAAACGTTTTGAGTCAACTAAATGTGAATGGCGGAAGAGATAAATGATTTCCTATCGTTATTATTGTTAGTTTTATTCTGTTATTTTGACTGTTATACAAGCGAATAGGTTATCCCTTATAATTTAATACCTCTGAAACAACATAATTGTAAACTAAAAATGGCCATTTTATCGTCAAGTGAATTCAACTACAGACAAAAGAAAAACAACATTTTAAACCTTCAAGGTCAGATTTCCCGTATAAAAGAAAAAAGAAAAGAAAAAGGAGAAACGAAAGTTAGAGCAAATTTTGTCGGGGTATTCAATTTTATTTTGCTGTTGTTGTTGTTTTTGTTGTTGTTTTCCTTCAGATTTTTCTCATA